ACAACATCATGGCTACGTAGGAGAAGGATCCGGGTACTGAAATATCCAGCCTGCAGTCCAGATCTTTCACCTATAGAGAACATTTGGGGCATCATAAAGAGGAAGGTGCAACAAAGAAGGCCCAAGACGACTGAACAGTTAGAGGCCTGTATTAGACATGAATGGGAGAGCATTCCTATTTCTAAACTTGAGAAACTGGTCTCCTTTGTCTCCAGACATCTGTTGAGTGTTGTTAGAAGAAGGGGGGATGCCACAGAGTGGTAAAAATGGCCTTGTCCCAACTTTTTTGGAATTTGTTGACGCCATGAAATTTGGAAATAACATATTTTTATCTTAAAATGATACATTCAATTTAAAATTTTGATTTGCGATTTGTGTTCTATACTGAATAAAATATTTGTTTTTGACACCTCCACATCATTGCATTCAGTTTTAATTCACAATTTGTATAGTGTCCCAATTTTTTTGGAATCCGGTTTGTATATATATATTAGGGGTGGAACGGTTAACAAAATCTATGGTTCGGTTCAGTTCACGGTTTCGTGGTCACGGTTTTCGGTTCTGTTCAGTATATGTTTATTGTTACACCGAAAAATAAAAAATAAAAAAAAATTGAAAAAAATTTATGAAAAAATAAAAATTTATGAAATTAATGAAAAAAATCCCCCAAAATTTATGAATTGTAATTATTTTTAATGATCCGCGGAAACCCTGGATCATTTCCGCATGTTTTGCTGCTTTGAATTTAATCATCTGGCGCATGCTCTCTAACATCTCCAAGAAACTCAGAGCGGAGCGGACGGGAGCCACAGTGGAGGCTGTAGGCTTTGCTTTGTGCAGGCGGTCTGGAGCGCAGCGGGGCAGAGCGCTGACGGAGTATGAGGGATTTCGGGGTTAGCATGACATGTTGCTGTTAGCATAAACAAAACGTGTTGCACAATGCTTGCACATTGTTGCACTTTTATCCACAACTTTCTTTCCGCCGTCATCGTAGGTCACTCTAAATGCAAAGAGGTCCCATACAGCAGACCTATAAAGTGCTGCTGGCGCGTCTTCCAACTCCTATTCTTTCCCACTCGCCATACCCACACAATTCTCCACAACAAGTGATTTTTTTCTGCTACGGCTATGCTGCTTCGCTTCTTCTTCTTGTTTACTACTGGTGGTTGGCTTTGGTCGCAGTACCGCCACCTTCTGCTCTGGAGTGTAAACGCTTTGCCTGTGAGAAAAAAGAGCAGCGCATGAACCGAACGAAACACACGCGAACCGAACCGAGACAGTCGAACCGAACAGTTCGGACGGTTTTCATAAACCGTTCCATCCCTAATATATACACATACATATACGCACATTATACATTTATATACATTATAAATTTCTTTTTAATTTCTACTTTTCTACATAAATTTAAAGAATTTCATTCCTTTCCAAAACACGTTTTCCCTTGTTCTGTCGGATCAGCATAGCCATAGTCAATACACATGCGCAAGACGTCAGATTTGCGTTTATCCCTTAAAAATAGACTTTAAACTACATCGACTGTCATGTATCCCTGTAGTCAAGTACAAAAAAAAATTAAAGGTCAGATCGCCAAACGCTTCAGTAATTAAATAGTTTTTTGTACATGACTAAAGGGATACACGCCCGTTGAGGTAGTTTTAAAGTCTATTTGTCGGACAGAACTAATGGGATAAATGGGTATTGACTATGGGTATGCTGCCCACATTACAGAACAAAGGCTCACTTTCTCTTCCTTTCTGGGGGCGAGCTTTTTATTGGAGCATTTTTTATTGGTCAAAAGCAAACGTTTGTATTGGGCTTGAAGTGAAGAGAATTAGATCTGTGAAACACAGAAAAGAATGTAATTTGAAAATCAGAAAAATACAAAAAAATAAATCATTAAACCTAAAAGAGACCATTTGATAAATATATCATCTGTATGGAATAAAATCTGAAAAAACAGCTAAATCACTCTCAAAACCATTTTTGGATGACAAAGGGTTTTTTTTAAAGTTTCCTCTCTGGATTATATTTTTTTTAGTTTACAAAATGGAACAAAATATTGGAACAAAAGTCACTCCATAGAGGCAGATGAAAAGTCTCACCAAAGCTCAGCTGACGACTCTCACAGAACTCGGTGTACTGAGCCGTGTCCATGTTCCGAGTGTGTCGCTCCAGACGCTGAATATTCAGACAACAAACACAGTGAACAACATCATCATCATCAACGTTAGATATGCTGAGTTCTTTGCTGTGACCTCTGACCTCCATCCTCTCCTGTTTAATCGTGTCCACTTCCTGCTTCTCGGCCAATGAAAGGAATTCCCCGGTTTGATCCATCCATGCCAGGAAGTCCAGAGCTAGTCGCTGCCTGCGCTGGTTTCCACCTGCAGACGAACCAGCTGACCGGAGAAACGCAGCCATAGGTCAGACGTAGGTCTGATTATGTTAAAAGCTGTTTGACCGAGTCCGAGCGTTTACCCGACTCCTGCTGCAAGTCCTCTTCCTCCACAGTCTTCAGCAGCTTGAATTTAAAATCTCTGAACTGCAGATATTTTAATAATCGTGCAAGCTTCCTCTGGTTTCAGGCAAAGAAACAAACAAAAAACAAAACAGAGGAATAAACTTCACTCAGAGGTTCAAACCAAAGAGGACTTTAGCTAAACAGATGAAGCCTTTTCTCTACCTTGTCCCTCCTCAGCAGGAACAGGATGTCCTCGGCTGAAATGACCCTTGAGCCGCGGAGTGCTGCTCCCTCGCAGGCCTGATGCAGCTGTTCCGTACAGTAAAACCATCCGTACATCAGGATCAGACTGTTCAAACTAGGGCCCCTAGTTACAGACTTAACCCCCATTAAAGTTACCATATTAATGAGCTGTGTGTGGACGATGTCCTCTACCAGGGCAGCCGTCTCAAACAGAGGCCTGCGGGCGTCTCCAAGAGCAAACCTGAAACACAAACTTATTCAGCTCTCTGAAGCAAACAGAGCCTCCCATGAACAGAACTGGGTTTAACTGGTGAGATGAAGCGTCTCAAGGCTTTCCCTTCATTTAGCCGAGGCATCAAGATCAGGGCTGAATTAATCGGAATAATCAATTATTGAAATAATCAACTAATTTAGTAATCGATTTACTGTTAACTGGAGTATAGAGACGCTAAACTATGGCTTTAGCTGACAGAGAAACCCACTTAGAGCAGTTTTTATACCCAAATTGTAGAAAAATCGAAACATTTGCATAAATTTAAGATGAAAAATATTTTCCGTCTGTCAATCTGCTCTATCAGAACTCCTCAAGTGGAAAAGTTTTGGTTTCACTTCATTTGATTTCATAAAGATCTTCTTTAAGCAACCTTTGGCTATCAGATTATTAATAAAAAAAGGTAATCAACCGATTAATCGATTTGCAAAATAATACCGGTAGTTACTTTCAGCCCTAATTACCACTAAATCAAACGGGACCAAAGTGGCGTAATTGTTTCAGCAGCACACAGATCTGCCATGACTGGTCGACCTCTTTGGTTCTGACAGTGGCTCCTCTGTAACAAGACAAAATACTCCTGCACTTTATTCTAAAATAGGCTTAAAACTTTCCTTTTTGATAAAGCTTATAGTTAGAGTGGCTCAGGTTATCCTGAGCTATCTCTATAGTTATGCTGCTATAGGCTTAGCCTGCTGGAGGACATAGGGACCCCTAGTTCATCATTCTATCTCTATTCTCCCACTCTGCAGAATCTGTTAGTTCAATCTCTAACGTTCTGCTCTCTCTGCTTTTTCTCATAGTAGCTTCATCTGGTCTGTTCCTGTTTGGCTGTGACTCCATCCTGGAGGGAAATATCAGCTGTGCTGCTGTCATCAACACCTTTGTTTATAGATGTAAGAGATCAGTCTGTTTTTCAGTGTAGTCCTGTTTCTCTGACTGTAACTTAATGGATGTGCTCTCTTTATCCTCAGACATGGGAGCTGGCTGGGAGCTTGTCTGCCAGGCTGTGTGTTTCCTGGACAGGGCCGCCTGTTGAGCTGGTTGACAGTTGCCTTTTGTATCTCTGCTTCTTTTTCTATCTCTGCTTCTGTCTCCTTGAACCCCAGTCGGCCTCAGCAGATGGCCGCTCACACTGAGCCTGGTTTTGCTGGAGGTTTCTTCCTGTTCAAAGGGAGTTTTTCCTCTCCACTGTCGCTACAAGCATGCTTAGTGCGAGGGATTGCTGAAGAGTCAATGAGTCGATGCAATCAACTGGTTTTAATTAGATAAAAAGCTTTGAATCAATCTGACTGGATGATCTGGTAAACTGTAAAGTGCCATGTGTGTTGTGAATTGGCGCTATAGAAATACAGTGAAATAAACTGAATTATTCAATTTCTTTTAATTAAAGTATAACAGCTGATTGATAGTACAGCATGGATTATAAATTTAAAAAGGCAGATTGCCTCACTGGATTTATAAACAATTTTACATTTTATTGGATATATTTTGTCTTAAAGTACAAAAGTGATCAAGATTTGATGAAAGCCTTTCCTCTGACGTTGTTCCTGTCAGACGGCTTCTCTTCTCTTTACTTCTGGCGGTTTTGATTGAATTATGCTCATAGAACCATTTGCATGTCCAAACAAATGGACTCCCTTCAAAGTCTCATCTCGGATAAAAAACAGAGCTTGCAAACGATCGCACACAAACTCGGGGTCAATAGGTAACACAACACACACACAGTTTGACCACAATGCACAGCACACAAACACACGGTTTGACCACGATACACATCAGCACACACGGTTTGGTAAGACCTCAATTTGCATCCAGATAGGCCACTTCCATGCTGACAAACCAACCTGAAGCCACATCCTCCACCTCTTTCCTTCTCTCATTTCTTCTCCTAGTCTTTCTCAAAGACCCCCTCACACCTGACAAGCCAGACCCCACCCACCTCCTTTATCTGCTCTCTGATTGGCTGCCTGCAGCTGTCAGTCACGCTAAGTGAGAAGAGTTCTGGTTTGGGGTTGCGGACAGGCCTGGCCTTGGGTTCGGACGTCGGCTTTGTGCACTGACAGATTTAGGTTTTGGGGTTTATTTGGGTTTCAGCCTCTCTGACCGCCACCGACCAACACTGCTCTGCTGCTCGCACCAAACAGGTGAGTAGCTGCACCCTGACTCCCTCTCAGCAATGAGAAGGTGGACAGCCATTTAAAGCTTATAACAGACTAGCAAGCATTTTGATTTGGACGAAAACTGAAAAAAATAGTTTATTTTATTTAAGGAGCTGAAAGCAGAGCAGATTTGGGAAGTTAGTTATGAAAATTAATTTGAAAAACATCTAAATACAAAAAAACAGCAACCCTCTGCTCTTCTGTGACTAAATCTATCAACTTCTACAAGCAGTTTGAATTTTTCCTCATTATACATCAACTCTGGGGTTCAAACTAAACCAAAAACCTGCTAAAATAACAATATTTCTGGAGCATTTTTGCAGTAAAGATAATTATATTCCTTTTATCTATAATAAAAAAAAAAAAAAACATCACAAATTTCCAAAAAATATTTAAAATTACCGACAAACTCATCAGTTGCTTAAAGCTGCAGCTATTCTGATCTTCTACGTTTTGGTGAATATTATCACAGGAATCATTTAGGGCTGCAGCGACGGATTATTTTAATAATCCATCCATCCATCTTTTTTTATATTCAATTCATTTAAAAGTATATACCTTTAGAAACGTAGAATTTCAAAATTTACATATATTTTGATTTTGAAAAAAAAAAGAAAAAAAAACTTAGGCATTTTCAATAAATTAGAAATGGCAGATACCAATTTATACATGTAATTTTATACATCTATCTATACCTATCTATATATATATAACGATAGATAGATAGATAGATAGATAGATAGATAGATAGATAGATAGATAGATAGATAGATAGATAGATAGATAGATAGATAGATAGATAGATAGATAGATATAGTTTAGTGTCATGTATGATTAAAATATTAAATATACCAATAAATAAATAAAAAAAATCACAACATATTTTTTCTGTCAATTAAAAATGCATTTTAAAAGATGAACTAAAAAGTTAAATGTCTTTTTTTAATGACTTTAAACGGAAAACAATGACTCTGGTTTTATTCTGTATAAATAACGATATAGTAGAATAATAATGTGTCTCTATGGGGGGTAAGCAGTTCATTGCATTGTTTTTGGGGTCGCAGTGTGACATGTTTTGGGTAATGATTTAATTAACAAGTTAAGTTACGATTATTCCAACAATCCATTAATCAAGATGAATCCTACTAACAGTTTTATATCATCAATTATATAAACCTTCATTAGCAAAAGCAAAGGTCCAGTGATAGAAGCAGAATCATAGTGCTGCAACTAATTATTTTGCAAATCGATTCATCTGCTTATTTTTTTTTTCCATTAATCGATTAATAATCAGATAGCCAATAAAGAAGATTTATTTTTTTACAAAATCAAAGCAGGTTAAACTAAAACTTTTCCACTAGATAGAGCAGATTGACAGATTGAAAAGATTTCCATCTTAACCACTAAATGTTTACATTTTTTTTTTAATGTTGGTATAATTACTGCTCTAAACGTGTCGCTCTGTCACCTAAAGAAAGGTTTTAGTCTCTATACTCCAGTTAAAGATGAACCGATTTCTAAAAGAGTTGAAGATGACTTTAATAATCAATCAATCATGGTTGTTTGAGCCCTGATCTCTTCCATCAGATGCTGTATCTGAGGAGCTGTGGCCTGTTTAGATCTCTGCTAGATTAAAGTAGAACTTCATTACTGTGTTTTATGTTTTATTTCTTCTTCAGGTTTTTTTAATGGCTTCCAACAGTCTGTTCAGCAGCTCCAGCCCCATGCTGTACTGGGGTAAGACATTTTATTAAACTCTTTATAAGTGTGTGTTTGCTCCTGTTCATGATGCTGAGTGAGGACTCGGTTGACTCTGCTGGTCTTTAAAAACAAAGTGAGGACAGGAAAATCTCCTGCCTTTGTTTAGTTAGAGGTTAGTTTCAGTACTAAAGGCATCAGAGATATCCAGTTGACCTGCAGTGCATGTTGAACGCGCCTCGAGGGGCGTGGAGAGGGCCTGAGGTGCGTTCGAACTGCAGAAAAACCATCAATGATAACAGGAGGTGGTCAATATCTAAAGATGTAACACTCCACTGGTTCACATATACAGGTGCTGGTCATAAAATTAGAATATCATGAAAAAGTAGATTGATTTCAGTAATTCCATTTAAAAAGTGAAACTTGTATATTATATTCATACATTACATACAAACTCATATATTTCAGATGTTTATTTTGTTTAATTTTGATGATTACAAATGACAACAAATGAAAATCTCAAATTCATCATATCAGAAAATTAGAATATTACTGAAGACCAATAAAAACAAAGGATTTATAGAAATGTTGGCCAACTGAAAAGTATGAACATGAAAAGTATGAGAATGTACAGCACTCAGTATTTAGTTGGGCCTCCTTTGGCCTGTATTACTGCAGCAATGCGGCGTGGCATGGAGTCGATCAGTCTGTGGCACTGCTCAGGTGTTATGATAGCCCAGGTTGCTCTAATAGTGGCTTTTAGCTCTTCTGAATTGTTGGGTCTGGTGTATTGCATCTTCTTCTTCACAATACCCCATAGATTTTCTATGGGGTTAAGGTCAGGAGAGTTTGCTGGCCAATTAAGAACAGGGATACCATGGTCCTTCAACCAGGTACTGGTAGCTTTGGCACTGTGTGCAGGTGCCAAGTCCTGTTGGAAAATGAAATCTGCATCTCCAAAAAGTTGGTCAGCTGCAGGAAGCATGAAGTGCTCTAAAACTTCCTGGTATGTGGCTGCGTTGACCCTGGACCTCAGAAAACACAATGGACCAACACCAGCAGATGACATGGCACCCCAAACCATCACTGACTGTGGAAACTTTACACTGGACTTCAAGCAACGTGGATGAAGTGCCTCTCTTCTTTTCCTCCAGACTCTGGGACCTTGATTTCCAAAGGAAATGCAAAATTTACTTTCATCAGAGAACATGACTTTGGACCACTCACCAGCAGTCCAGTCCTGTTTCTCTTTAGCCCAGGCAAGACGCTTCTGACGCTGTCTGTGGTTCAAGAGTGGCTTGACACAAGGAATGCGACAGCAGAAACCCATGTCTTTCATACGTCTGTGTGTGGTGGTTCTTGAAGCACTCACTCCAGCTGCAGTCCACTCTTTGTGAATCTCCCCCACATTTTTGAAGGGGTTTTGTTTCACAATCCTCTCCAGGGTGCGGTTATCTCTCTTGCTTGTACACTTTTTTCGACCACATCTTTTCCTTCCCTTCGCCTCTCTATTAATGTGCTTGGACACTGAGCTCTGTGAACAGCCAGCCTCTTTAGCGATGACCTTTTGTGTCTTGCCCTCCTTGTGCAAGGTGTCGATGGTCGTCTTTTGGACAACTGTCAAGTCAGCAGTCTTCCCCATGATTGTGTAGCCTATAGAACTAGACTGAAAGACCATTTAAAGGCTTTTGCAGGTGGTTTGAGTTAATTAGCTGATTAGAGTGTGGCACCAGGGGCCATCAATTTTGAACCTTTTCACAATATTCTAATTTTCTGATATGATGAATTTGAGATTTTCATTTGTTGTCATTTGTAATCATCAAAATTAAACAAAATAAACATCTGAAATATATGAGTTTGTATGTAATGTATGAATATAATATACAAGTTTCACTTTTTAAATGGAATTACTGAAATCAATCTACTTTTTCATGATATTCTAATTTTATGACCAGCACCTGTAAAGTCAGGAGGATGAGCGGCACTCTGATCACTCTAATGAAATATTTTGACACTGAACTGTGTCGAAACAGTTTATAAATACGTTCATAAAACATCAACACTTGGCACTGAAACGTTCAGTTTTATATCCTGACACTTGAAGTTTTTACCATCTAAATAAACAAAGATATTCTCTCCCAGACTGCATCAATGAGCCATAGAATTCAAGATGGACGCCTTGGGTGTGAACGCAGCATAAAATGTTGATTAGATTTAGTTTAGGGATGCACCAATAAAGGTCAGCTTTAAAGGAGAAGTTCACTTTTTAACACTTTAAGCCCATTTTCTGTAGTGTCCAGGATGAAATCGAATGAAGGACACCAAAATTTTGACAATTGGTCCTGTCTCTGCTTTTTGGCTCATTTAGAATCCCCCCCTGGCTGCTTTAGAATGGCTTGCATAGAGCATGTCCGATAATGTCCTTAAAACAACCTTAAACGTTCTTTTTTTTAAAATATGCTACTCACCGTGTCGTCAGTGCTGTTCAATGACGTTCCAAAAAAAGTTTCGTGAAGAAAAAACGTTCCTGTAGTGTTTTATTTAGCATTTTGTAAATCCCATTGAGTTCTGTAGGAATAGTCAATATTCCGCTGCCACCGGAAACGGAAATGGGGCCTGTTTACACAGTTGTAGTCTTTTCGCTTCACTCTGTGTACTCCGACGTCGAGAATCAAGAATCCACCTTTCGTATTCCATTTTCAGAGTTTTTTAAAGTGTTTAACAGAGACGTTAGCACCTCGACGTCGGAGTACACAGAGTGAAGCGAAAAGACTACAACTGTGTAAACAGGCTCCATTTCCGTTTCCGGTGGCAGCGGAATATTGACTATTCCTACAGAACTCAATGGGATTTACAAAATGCTAAATAAAACACTACAGGAACGTTTTTTCTTCACGAAACTTTTTTTGGAACGTCATTGAACAGCGCTGACGACACGGTGAGTAGCATATTTAAAAAAAAGAACGTTTAAGGTTGTTTTAAGGACATTATCGGACATGCTCTATGGAAGCCATTCTGAAGCAGCCAGGGGTTGATTCTAAATGAGCCAAAAAGCAGAGACAGGAGCAATTGTCAAAATTTTGGTGTCCTTCATTCGATTTCATCCTGGACACTACAGAAAATGGGCTTAAAGTGTAAAAAACCGAACTTCTCCTTTAAGGTCAGGCTGTAGAACGCTTTGAACATATATTAGGCTAATGAGACGTCCTCAGTGTGTCTGGAAAACCCAGGGGTGTTTGTGTGTCCTACATCATGCTCTGCAGCTCTGGGATGAAACTGGTCCTGGAGGATGGGCGCTCTTTAGAACTGGAGGAGGCTGAGCCCGCCATGGGACCACTTCGAACCACCTGCTGACCCACATAAAAAAAAAAAAAGAAAAGATTAGCTTTTAGGAAACATAACGTACTAAGAAATGACTACAGAATCCACAGCATCAGAAAAGAAACACAAGAAGGTTTTATTTTTCAAACACTGAGCCTGGTTCTGCTGCCAGTTTCTTCCTGTTAAAACTCAGTTTTTCCTCTCCACTGTCACTACAAGCAGGCTTGGTGTGAAGGATTGCATTAGTGTGAATCAGTCGATACAATCCCTTTAACTTTCATAAGATTTATAAACATATGTTTTACTTCCTTGTTTGATGTTTGTCTCTTTGGGGTCTTGCTGCAAGCTGCAAGTTTAATCATTTATTACTTGTTGAATTTGAGAAAAAACAAAACAGGAAGATACCAAAGAGGTTTTTAGTGTATAGATCAGAGGTCAGGGATTACCGGACCCAACCTGATTTAAAGCATTTATAAATTACTGCATGTTGTCAACAACAGTGTCTAACTTCACTTGCGCTGCTTCTCCTGTTAATACGGTAAAGCTCTCCGGAGCGTCCTGCTCCAGGCTGCATGTGATACTAATGATCCAATGAGCTGCAGTCAGTCTGGGTTGCTGCTGCTGCTACTTTTAGACACAGCAGGTAAACCTGTGGCGAGCCGGGCGATGGGAAAGAAGGAGAAGATGATGAGAAAAAGAGAGCAGAGAAAGTGTGGACTGCTGGAAGAACTGTGGGGAACTGGTGAAAGAAAAGTGAAATTGTGCTCAAAGATGACCCTGAACATTTAGAGGATGTTTGGCTCAACCTGCTGCTGTGAAGCAGGATTCTCCACCATGAACAGAATCAAAAATAAATATGGATCCAGGCTCAAAATGAGCTCCTTGATATGTGCTTTAGAATGGCTTAGTCTCCATTCAACCCCAGGTTTAAAGCCTTGCAGGGCAGCATAAGACAGAAAAAAGAAAGAAAAACGGTCAGTTTAGGGGTTTTATAAAACGTGTGAATCAGGAAATTGTCTAAATACCAAACTGAAAGATTGTTGTTCTCTACTTTTTTTTTTATTTGATGTATAACATGGATGCATAAACACCTCATTTTATTTCAGTGGTAAATTCTGTTTAAAGTAACAGATTATAATAAAAATCCGGACCTTTACTGGTTGATGATTTTCAGACTCTGCTGATTATTAATTAGTTACCCCTGATCTAGATCATCAGAGCAGAGAAAAAAGCAATAAAATGACCTTCTGGTTTTCCATAGGGCGAGTTAAAAACATTATAAACGCTAAAACTCTGCTGCAGTCAATGAAAGATGGAGGGGAGGTGATTTCTCATGTGGAAGAACGCAGACTCAGACAAAAGCCTAAAACAACAAGATAGCAGAAAAGTCGTGAGGCGAATAAAAGGACAAAGAGAGTAAATCGGGGCAGACAGTGAGGACAGGTGCTGTGACCGCACTAACTTCCCCCGGTGGAAACAATGCAGCGCAGCTCCCTCCTATTCAAACACTGCGGCGAGCGAAACACAATGTAGAAACAAAGTGGACAGGAGGGAGAGAGGCGCCGAGGACACGGAAGAGGGAAAAACAACAGACCTGATGGAAGGAAAGGAAAGACTCACCGGAGTTTATCAGAAACACTCAGCTGTAAGCTCCAGCTGTTGATTTTCTCGAATCGGTTGTATTTTGACGCGATGTGATGACGTAGGTGACTGGAGGGTTATGGGAAATGTAGTTATCCAACGGGTTTCAACAATGTCCAGTGAAAACTTGGGTTCAGTTACAAATGAAGATTATTCACCTTGAAAAAATCATGGAGGAACAGGATCCCTTTTGAGTCACAGGCTCAAACATCGTACAAACCATAGAAAATAATTGAGAAAGTTCTTAATTCAATTCAGTTTATTTCTATAGCGCCAACTCACAACACGTCATCTTAAAGGAATAGTACACCCAAAACATGATTAGCCTTCATTTTCTACTCACCTCCATGCTGAACAACACTCTGGAGTACTTTTTTGATATCTCAAATGCATCTGGAGATCTGGGAGGCTTCTTGCTGTCTGCTGACATTCAAATAATGGAGGTCCATGGCGCCCGAGACAGAAAGGTCCATAAAAGTCCACAAAAACGTGTCAATATTCCTCCATACTGCTCGTCCAATGTAATCCAAGTGTCCTGAGTGGGTAGCATCCAGAATTTACTCGAAACGAAGTAATTTAGAATGTTTTTAGAGCATAAACAGTAGTGTATAGGATTTCCTAATAGCGCCCCCATGCGCGCTCACGATTCTACGGAAGCCGGCAGACCAAACCGGAAGGAAGTGCGCATTCAGCGTCTGGTCTGCCGATAATGCAAGCGTAGAAGAAGAAATGTGCTGTTTACCTGTGCAAAGAAAGAAACAACGAAAGAAAAATGTCTGAGGACTTCAGTGTTGAGGAAGAGCATGAGTTCTTTGCCGAGCTGAATGCGCTGGTTTGGTCTGCCGGCTTCCGTAGAATCGTGAGCGCGCATGGGGGCGCTATTAGGAAATCCTATACACTACTGTTTAGGCTCTAAAACGTTCTAAATGACTTCGTTTCGAGTAAATTCTGGATGCTACCCACTCAGGACACTTGGATTACATTGGACGAGCAGTATGGAGGAATATTGACAAGTTTTTGTGGACTTTTGTGGACCTTTCTGTCTCGGGATTCATAGACCTCCATTATTTGAATGTCAGCAGACAGCAAGAAGTCTCCCAGATCTCCAGATGCATTTGAGATATCAAAAAAGTACTCCAGAGTGTTGTTCAGCATGGAGGTGAGTAGAAAATGAAGGCTAATCATGTTTTGGGTGTACTATTCCTTTAAGGCACTTTACAGTTCACCAGATCATCCAGTCAAATTGATTCAGTTTTCTATCTAAGCAAAACCAGTTGATTGCATCGACTTATTGACTTGAATGCAATCCCTCACACTAAGCATGCTTGTAGCGACAGTGGAGAGGAAAAACTCCCTTTTAACCGGAAGAAACCTCCAGCAGAACCAGGCTCAGTGTGAGCGGCCATCTGCTGAGGCCGACTGGGGTTCAAGGAGACAGAAGCAGAGAAACAAAAGGCAGCTGTAAAAGGAAGCCCCGTTCCAGCAAACATACAGCCAGGCAGACGAGCTCTGAGTCAGCTCCCATGTCAGAGGATGAAGAGAGCGCATCCAGTTAGTCACCATCAGAGAAACAGGACTACACTGAAAAACAAGCAGAGCACAAACATCCATAAACAAAGGCTTATGATGGTAGCACCACAGTTGATATCCAGGATGTCCAGTTCATTTCAGAAGAAGCTACCATGAGAAAAAGCAGAGAGAGCATAACTTTAGAGATTAAAGTAACAAATACTGCAGAATGGGAGAATAGAGATGGAATGATGAAAAGAGGTCCCTTTGTCCTCCAGCAGTCTAAGTCTATAGCATTACAAATGGAGAATACAGCTCAGGATAACCTGAGTATTTTGTATGATGTTGTATAATAAAGGTGGAGCCACAGTGCGGCCAAAGTAAAGTCAAGGAGAAATTCAGATTAGGAAATAATAGTAGCATTACTTATCAACAGATGTACAGTAAATTAATTAAGCCTAGTTTTTATTCATGGAAATGTGGAAACTTTTATTTACTTCCTGAACAACCAGCCAAAATTTTTCACTATTTTTCTTTTGCTTTGAGTTTTATGGTGGTTGGCAGACTAACCAGTGCATTACTGCCACCAGCTGAAATGGAGTTTGGACAAGAGCTTAAAATAAAAAAAATATTTACTCTTGCAATGTAATTTACGTAGCAAATAAATAAACAAATTAATAATTACCTGAACCATTTAAGCTGAAAACCATGGCTGACTCTAAAATCTGCTTATTATCAATCACTCTTTAGCAGTTTTGGAAGAACAATATCAGTCCTGTTTGGCGGTGACTCCATCCTAGAGAGAAATATCAGCTGAGCTTCTGCCATCAACACCTTTATTTATAGATTTTGGTTCTTGGCCTGTTTTCCAGTGCAGTCCTGTTTCTCTGACTGTGACTGGCTGGATGTGCTCTCTTTCATCCTCTGACGGAGCTGGCTCATGGCTTGTCTGCCTTGCTTTGTGTTTCCTGGACGTGGCCGCCTGTGGAGCTAGATGACAGTTGCCTTTTGTATCTCTGCTTTTTTTTTTCTCTTTTCCACTTATGTCCCCTGAACCCCAATTGGCCTCTGCTGATTGAATTATACCTTCAAGGATTTAAAAACCCACAAAATGTCAAAGGTTCGAGTCCCGGCCCTGCTGACCTTTGCAGAATGTCTCTCCCCTCTCTCCTAACCCACGCTCTTATTTGTTATTTTCAAAAGTAACAAATAAAGGTCACTAGAGCCTTGAAAAACATATTTGGAAGACCACAAAATGCAATTTATAGCCGGAATTAAATTAGACACTGCATTTTCATAAAAAAAATCAACAAAATTATATAATATTTTACTATGTAATTACATGAAAGAACGGAAAGCATAAAGCCTCTTGTAACTGTTCCCCTTTCTCAGACACCGTGGGTAAATGTCGGCCGGCTCCATCCCCTAAACTTCACCAGCTGGATGAGCAGGATGTGAGAGCTCCATTGCAGCAGCACAGCACAGCATCCCAAAGAGGCCTGGTTCACACTGACAGCCCCAACTTCCTCTGCAGCATCCTGCCACAGCACTGGAGATGTAACAAGACCCTGCCCAGAGCTTTCACAGTGAGCAACCACTCTGTCAGCCATTCTCTCTGTATCTGTCTTAGTCCATGGTATAATGTCTGTAAAGGTGTTAAAAGTGTTTTGCATCTTGCAGGTGGTTGCTGTCGGTAACGACGTGCCAGACGGGGTGGTTGTGACGGTGATGGCGGGCAATGATGACAACTGCAGCGCTGAGCTACGCAATGCCACAACAACCATGAAGCAAGGTTATGCCCAGTTCAACGATCTTCGCTTCATTGGTCGCAGTGGCAGAGGTACTCCATTTGCTTTAATGGCTGTGTGTTTAATGGATGGGGCCACCTTTTACAGTTACCTTTTGTATCTCTGCTTCTGTCTCCTTGAACCCCAGTAGTCCTCAGCAGATGGGCGCTCACACTTAGCCTGGTTCTGCTGGAGGTTTCTTCCTGTTAAAAGGGAGTTTTTCCTCTCCACTGTTGCTACAAGCATGCTTAGTGTGAGGGATTGCCTTAGAGTCAATGCAATCAGCTGGTTTTCCTTAGAAAGAAAACTTTGAATCAATTTGACTAGATGATCTTGTGAACTGTAAAGTGCCTTGAGATGACGTGTTGTGAATTAGTGCTATATAAATAAACAAAATTTAAACTGAATTACCACCATTTAAAGCTCGAATAAAGAAAATGTGTCAAAACAGAAACATGTTGGTGAATTTTCCTCCTCGTTGCCTATGATCTTTTTCTTTCCATCTATGTTTTTTTTTTCCTTTTAGGGAAGACCTTCACCCTATCAATCAATGTGCTGACCTCACCTCCTCAAATAGCCACAGTACACAGAGCAATCAAGATTACTGTGGATGGACCCCGTCTGCCGAGACGTTAGTAAACCCTAGAAAGAAACACCCAAAGGTTTAACACTTCGTGGGCAGAACCTTCATAAAGGTGGTATTTATGGATGTTCTGCTTTCCTCAGGTCAGAGACAGAAAGAGCTGAAGTCAGGAATTTTCCGGCCTCCCAGCAGCATCAGCAGCTCTGCCCCAATAGGTACGGGAAAGTTTAAATAGTTACTTCGATCTTTGTTGAAATGTTAGTCTGAAATTTACTGTTATTAAATATCAAGTAACCTAAAGTGTAGGTGGTGAAATCTCTTAACAACTCGGTTTAGGATATCTGGATTTAATTTTATTTCCTAATGAGAATCCAATGGTGCAAATTTGGTCTAAACAATAATTCTCCAAGTAGCAGGAATACATTTTGTTTTTTACTTTAACTCCTGAAAAAAGCAAAGGGTAGATTTTCATTGTCATTAAATTCATGATTAAATGCTCCTTTTTAGATGATCTTTTCTTTGACAGTAGATTTATAATTAAACAGTTATTATCTTTTAAAAGCACAAAGGGAGAGCTATAGTTTTCCCTTGGAGAGAGATATCCATATTTTATTTTTAAAAGAAATACAGAGATAATAATATACAGTATTATATACAGACATGAAAATATACAATATATAAAATTTTAAATGTGAGGAGAAAAATGCAATCCTATGAAAGGTGATTAGAGCCACTGAAAAAAAAAAAATAAAAAATGTTATTTTATTTTAGTTTAATATGGTATTCTGACTTTTTTTTTATTAAACCTAAATAAAATATAAAAACCAGTTAACTTTTTTTCCCCAGTGGCCCTAATCCTGTCCAGTAAAAGTCTGATGTCAAACTCTAAAGAAATTTTTAATTAAAAAAAAGGTTTTGAGAGCCAATTTGCTGTTTTACTTAGATTTTATATTTTCAGAGAAATTATATTCTTTTCACTTCAAGCCCACTACAAACGCTCACTTTGTGCTAATGTCCATGCAGACCAATATAATTTGTTTTTAAATTTCCTCTTTTAAACCGTTTAAGCTAAGATCATCTTAAAACCTTCTCAAATAAAATAAAAGCATTTGCAAAGCGGCGGCAGAATAATCTGTTTTTAGTTCTATTTTAAAGTATGAGAGGAACCTTTGAAAGTTCCCTGAATAAAATGATGTCATTTTGTCCTCAGACTGCAGGTCCTTTTCCTCCTCCCTGTGGAACAATGAGCCCTCATTTCTTGGTCAGGTCACATCTCTGACATCCTCCTTCACTCCTGCTCCCAGACTGCATCACCTGCCCTCTGGCCCCTTCTCCACCCATCCTCCTCCATACGCCTCCTATTTGTCCTCTGCTCCTTCTGGTCCCCCTCCGCTGAGCCACAGTGGTCCCTTCCAGCCAGGCAGTTTCTACTACGGGTCCAACCAACCACTCCAAAGCACAGGGGAGGACCGCAACATTGTTGCTACCATGTCCAATTACATAGAAGGGGCGTGTCTTAACATGAGGGGGGAGGAGCCTGTCTGGAGACCTTACTGATGGCAATAAGTTCAGTTGTAACCACATGTTTTATTTTGTTTGTTCACACATAATGTCTTATTTGTTGCATGTATTATTGCTTTAGATGAATATTCTTTTCAGATTTTAGAAAACTTTGTACCAATCTGACTGTATGATCTGGTTTAATTGTCTCTGTAAAATGCATTGAGATGACATGTTGTTAATGGTTGCTATGGAAATGGAAATAATTGAAAATGTAATTTTTTTAAAATAAAATGATGCTTGACATGAATATGATTATAAAAATACATAAATAATACTCAAATAGCATCACTAATTTACATTTATTAGCAGACTAATAACCGTTAATGGATTTGCAAATAAATAAAGAAGGTAGATGCTACAGTCTCAGAAATATAAAATCCCAAACATCTTGTCACAATCTGAACTTCTATAACATACATGAACTACTAAAAATAAAACTGAAAAAAGCTGCACCATATGAGAGCTGAACAAGAGAGAAAATGGTTTAGTTATGGATTAATTATCTCTTAATCAAGAGATAATTATTCTAATCAAATCTAATCTCTAGGTTTTTTTTTTTTCAGAAGCTAAGACATCTTAATTTGATTCCAGAAAAGGAAAGAAGTCATTGCTATGGCAACACTGAAGCACCAGATGTGCATGGCTGTAGCTCTGTAGGGCAGGTTGCAAGAGGTAAGGAACATTTGACAACCTCCATGTTACTTGCTTTAAGCTTCTACACCTTCCAACTGTGTGGGAATGTAGGGGACAGGTATGAGTTAGGTTTTAACAGATTTTGTCATTCTAACAAAAACAAAAAAAACCATGAGAAACAGATAGAAATGCAAACCTGCAAATCCATCAGCTCCTTTATTCTCCAAACAAACACATGAAATGCTGTTCAGTGGGCTGGCATTTAATCAAACATTTGCCCCTTTCTTGAAATTTAATTTACCCAGTGAAATAAAGCTGTTTTAAAGAGCGCCTTCCTTTTCTGAAAGAATGGTTCATTTTTTCTTCTTCCTAACTTGTTTGACAAAGGTGCAGCAAACCTGGTAACTTAAATTTAAATGCAGGTTTCCAGCCAGTCTGCACTGATGCAGACTATTTAAGGGCTGAACGGTCCACTCGTCCCACTCACTTTGTGGTTTGGGACAGCCCTTCATATGACGGCCCTCCACGGGAACACACAAATGTAGGGTTAGTGCGTAAGGGTAGTGTTTAGGGGCCAGTTTGGGATTGGCCCTTTTTCTCATCTGGGCATAATTCACCACCTGGGTAATAAGCAGTTCTGCATTAAACCACACGGTGGCAGCAGTGATACAGTGATACTCTCAAGTGAAAAGTCTTGACTTATTTGACATGTTGGCGTATATAACAATAAACTGACGAGAAAAATACAGTAAATAATAATTGATAAACATTGATATACCAATGCCTAAGATAGCAAACACAGAATCTGTGCTGATAATTCATTAAAATCTTAATAACCAAAGGTGTTAATAACACAAATGTCACAGGTTACAGATTTTAATGATCACAGATGTTAATTGATAAAGACGTTAATGACCACAGACGCTCTTGAGGACATTTACTAAAGACGTGGTCATTTTGAGTTCAAATGGGGAAAAAAGAAAAACGAAGTTCCATTATAAATCAACATTTATTACCAACAGTTTTATCTTACATTGTTATTATTTCACAAGAAATGCATTCTTTTTCATGTACAAATTACAAATACATAAGCTATTATCTCCACTCTTTAGTTTAAATGTACACTTGCTTAGTTTTTCCTGTCACCGGATGTGGCGACCTGGCAACATTTTACAGTAAAAAACAGTCAGAAAAAAATGGTCTCAGTCTCTGGGAGAGAGATCGGGAGCTCTTTGAACTCTTTGTGGGAATCATGAAGCTTAATTTCATCCCATCTTTTGCAGTCGTCTAATTGTTGGTCTGACTGTTGATACACGTCAAAGAGAAAACCCCAAGAAAAGCTTGTTCCCAAAAGCTGAGAGATCCTTACAGATCAAGTGACCCAATGACTGTGGTGTGACAGTTAATAGCTTGTTCCCAGAATTCCTAAAAAGAGAAGGAGGTTGTATGGAGAGCGAGAATCCTTGCAGAATAAAAAAAAAGGACAATGCTTGTGAAGGACGGCAAAATACAACAGGATCCCCCAGCATTAATTCATTTGCTGGGTTTGTCAAGAAGCTATAAGTCCCAAACTGGATCTGCTGACTCATAAAGCACCACTGAGGAAGGATTTAGAAAAGAATAAACCGAATATAACTTTTTCTGCAAGCACCTAACTTTATAGTTTAACTTGGCCATTTTTCTTTATACAGTGCTGAATAGTGTCATTGAATGCATGTGTGCGTGCATGTGTGTTGCAAAGCCTTTTCTGAAAAATGCTGAACTGCATGAAGGTTTGGGTCAAAGTCAGAGGATGAAAGACAGAAAAACATGCTGGATGTGTTTTTGCTTCTCTCAGATCTAAAACTCACTTTAACTCTTTGCTTTTTTTTTTTTTGGTTGAAATTCTACAAGACAGCTTCTCATTGACCAGGCCAAGCCAGGTCTTCAATAAATACAAATTCTGACAACAGCCTGTGCATTTAGGTAACTTTGGCATCAAAATTTGTGTTTTTAATTGATAACTTCACAGGATACTTCAAAACAGAGAAAATCAGATTTGTTGGTCAAGCAAATCCCATTACAACAGAATATAAGGGCCATCATAAGAAATATATCATTTTTAAATTATGAGCATAAAATCATAATAGGAATCTTATGATTACAAAATCATAACATTACAGGATTAAAGTAGTACCATAAAAAAAGTCATAATATTATGAGAAAAAAGTCGTAACTCAACAGCAAAAATACATCAGAAGATTAAAATAAAAAAATTTCGAGATTAAATATCATGACCCTGCAAGATTAATGTTTATCAGATTAAAGTTATAACATTAATGTAATAAAGCTGTAATATAGAGAGTCTCTGACTTCCCCTGAGTTAAAATGCTCTCCTCGGGCTGCATTTTGGTTAATCTTAGTTGATCATTTTGTTGAAGTTTTGGTATTATTAAAATAACTTTTTATTTTGAAAATACTGCAATTTTACTTTAATATTATTGCGACTTTATTGTCATTATATTACGACTTTATTCATAATTCTCCGTCGTTTCTCATAAACTGGTTAAACCAAAGTCAATTTTAAACTTAACAGAAAATCCAACAAAAATAAATCAGAAACATCCTTTATATTAAAGCCTTGGTGAACAGAGTTAATTTTCACCATATCTGACCATAAGAAATGACAAGAAATCTATTTGTTAAACTTAACTGAACAACAATTTATCTTTCAGGCATAATAATTTAATTTTACAAAGATAGAAGGTGCAGCTGGTTCTCTGTTTGTTTATATGTTGCAGTTAAAAACATAATTAAACCGTCCATGGTGATAGAAATGAAAAGCAATATTAGGGATTTTATGTTGAAATCCTATGAACCATGTGAATAGGAAAGCTAACTGTTGCTTCTCCTACTCAGTGCTGTGGATACTGATGGATGTCCTCATTAGTATGACAATAAGGAGCTTGTGCGTGAAGGTTTTGTGGCCCTCACTCCCCACTGGTCTCCACCTCCTCTCACTGAGTGTGTGTGGATGTTTGATGTGTGTCTGACTTCACGCAGAAGTTGGGTTTGTCAGAAGCCTTGTAGCCTGGGAGACACTCGCACAGATAGGAGCCCGCGGTGTTGATGCATTTTCCGTTTTTACACAGCAACATCCGGGTGTTCAGCTCTAAGCACTCGTTCACATCTGCAGACAGAGAGACATAGTGGGTATAAAGCAGAACAACATCGTGGCAGTGTTTACATAATGACGAGCTCTCCTACCGACGCAGACCATACGGGACAGGTCGAGTGTGTATCCTTCAAAGCATTCGCAGGTGTAACCTTCCTGAACCCGGACACACCGGCCATTCTCACATCCGTTAAGAATCCCGCATTCCTCTGATTGCAAGCCCTCAAATGCACTGTAACGATCTGTAGCACAAAAACGGCAGAAACGCATTAAGTTCTTAGATTTGTCCCAAACCTGGATTGATTTCTTTGGTTTATTGAGTTTTTTTTTTTTTTTTTTTTTTTTACAATACAACATAGGTTTACAACAACATTCAGTCCCCACCCAAAGAAAATGAACAAATTAAGTAGTAGTATCAATAATGAGACAAAAAAAAGATCAGATCTTTTTCTCCACAAAAGAAAACAATTAAATAGATATGACACTGTACACTAATTGGGTTATATATACATACATGCATACATGCTAACATATACCTGAACATATGCACAATTATAAAAATTCATAATGTAAACATACTTAAAGAATGGTACAGTTCATACAGAGTTGATAAAGCAGATAATTATAACAATAAAATGAAGCCAGAAATTGTCCTAGTAAGATTAGTACATTAAACTCTAACTTCATCGCATACCTCAAAAAGGTTGCCGATTAATAGTTTGCCACTTTAACCTCTCAGAGTATGTTTTACTTTTGCCAATCTCATAAATGTTATGATTCGAGCCTGTCAGCTAGTCTGTTTAAACCCTTATGCCTGATTATTAATTCAGTTTAAATGGTGCAGCTCCCACTCTGCCTCATCAGTTTTCATTCCCTCCACTTGTTCCCACCTATATACAGTATGTTACTTGCTGACTAATTTAGAGTGCCAGATTATTGAAAGCTTTTGCCAGTATATTTCCAGCGTTACGCCCATCTGCCTGCCTGATTCTGACCTGATACTGCTTCCTGATTCTCTGAGCCTGCCTGAACCCTATCGGACCGGTCACTGTGAGTTTTCTGGATCTCTTGACTGTTTTCTGTGCCCTGACCCCACTCTCAGATTCTCCTCTGGATTATACATGGATCTCTGAACACCTGTCTCTGACTCTGGACCTTTCCTCGGACCCCGAACATTGGTTTGCCCCTTTAATTAATATGCCTGTCTCTGCTCTCACAGGTCAGACACTGTTTCTGCCCTCAAGCTGTGAGATTAGCCTGGTCTAAGTCTATAAAAGCTCAAGCCGCATGTGATGTCATCGGTCCTACTGTCACATTCCTGGAATCTAAAACCCCTACAATAGAGGTAAAACAGTTTTATTTGGTTTTGATGAATATGGCTTCATCTCTAAGCTCCCATTGAGATAGGGTGAGGAACTTATCACCGATGAAAGGTTCTGAGTAGAGATTGTGGAAGCATATTTTTCCTTGGCCTATTTGTGAGATAAATATTTTGAGTGTGCCTTTCCTCTCCCTAAATAGGGGTGATTGGTTAGAAGTCTGCATGCTGGAGTGAGGTTATGGAGTTAAGATTGGGGATTACAGAAAGGAGATGCCTCCCTACTCTAGACAAGGGTGAAGGGAGGGTCATGAGAGATAAGAACGCCACCTTCATGCCGTGAACGGGTAGACCTGTTCTGAGTGTTTATCTGGCTAAAATTGATATCCTTGATGAATCAAAGTTTTTTTTTTCCTGGGAATAACCAAATGTTGAAGTGTGAGAAAGGTCTTTATGCAGGGGGCCGGTTCGTTCCCCTGGGGGGAGAGTGTGTGTGTGATTTTATAAGGTATAAATGTATGTACTGAGCTTGCCATAGTCAGAGAGCTCTATCTCTCCATCCGAGGATGTTAAATGCCTCTTCTTCAGCTTCCTAACTCCACAAGCTGCTTCTCCTCCAAGTCCAAAACATTTTAAGTACAAAGTCAAAGCCGCATTTAAATGAATCTGCTCACAGATCATCTAAACTTCCTTTTCATTTAGTTATTCAAGACTGTGACACAGAACTAAAGAGAACACTACAGGCAAATATCTTTTTCATTTTGACTCTGCATAGAATTGTCCATATTTCAAGGCTGTTTCTACTGCCCCTTTACACATCTTGAACATTAGGGGAAACTTTTTTCCATCATTGAGCTTACCTTTGGGCAACAAGGCACTCATTCCCACCATCACAGTCCTAGAATTAGCTGTATCTGTAGCGCTAATTATTTTTTCTCAGTCAGACCTACATGGTAGACTTAGATTTCAGAAGGCCTGGCTTCATACTCTGCAGTCATAGAGGCCAGATGCAGAAACATACATTTTTCTCTGGCAATCACTTTTTTTACATTAAAATAAAACATTTAGAAAGTTTCTGATCTTAATCATAGGGCTGCCCTCTCTCACCTGTCTTGTTTACAATCTTTATGGACAGAATTTATGTGGGCAGCAAAAGACCAAAGGGGTTCCGGTTTGGGGAGCAGTGGGTTTAATCTCTGCTTTTATGGATAACAAAGTTCTGCTGACTCCCTCTTGCCAAGACCTACAGCATGCAATGGGCCGGTTCTTAGCTGAGTGTGAAGATGAGCTACTCCAAGCCGAGGCCATGCTTCTCAACCGGATAAAGGTGGCTTGTCCCCTTCAAGTTGGAGGAGTGTTCCAGCCTCAAGTGGACGAGTTCAATTATCTTGGGGTCCTGCTTACCAGTTAGGGGAGTATGAAACGGGAGATCGATAGCCCCTTCAAGCTGAGGCAGATCAGTAACAGACAGCAAAGTTGGCAGGATTTTGACGCTATGCTTACTACTATATTGGTTTGCTAAGTCCAAAGAAATACGTGTATTCATGCCTGAATAAAACCACAATGGCCTGTTTAGAGGCTGACTGAAACCACCAGTAAAAGTGGGTCCCTAAAGATGGCAAAATAGAACAAAGGTTCAATGAATCTCAGACTATTGTATGAAGTTTTGTATGAACTCAAGCTATGATCAGGCTGAGGGTGACATGCTGAGCTTGGGGGGATGAAATGCAGTCTGAGTGTCTTTGTAATATCTATGAAAAGACCCTTTTATGTTACACAGGGTAATCAATCAATCAATCAATCAATCTATCTATCTATCTATCTATCTATCTATCTATCTATCTATCTATCTATCTATCTATCTATCTATCTATATTTTGCTAACGATTAGGTTTAGGGCTAAGGTGTCAACTGGGTTAGGATTATGGTGAGGTATTCATTGGTAATGGTTAGGTTTAGGGCTAGTTTTAGGGTTAGGGCATAGAAAGGGTTGAACATGACTTGTATACCTTCTGGCCTCTTCTTCATTAGAAGTCCCTTCAGACATCTAATAACTATTTAATCTGATCAAGCAAGTTAATGTTTGACATTCTAGGTTGAGGTACAAGCAAATACTTACACTCTTCATTTTCATAATAGTTTTGGACAGTCTTCTCATCACTTGTAGTCAAGTAGTCTGGGTCCACTTCGTACTCATGGACTGAACCGGCAACGAGGGCGTCCTGACCGTATGGCTGCCGCCTCCCACCCAAAGGAATATTACACATGGACGCATAGTCATCTATGAAGAGAAAAAAGAGAAAGCAGAGAAGTCAAACAAAAATGTATTATTTTTGACTTCTGGTAGATGGGTAATGAGGGAGGGGGAGGTTTGACATACGTACATTTAAGACTAATGTCATTATTTTCTTTGTAAAGGGTGTTTTTTTTCTCTCCCAAGATTACTAATTGGATTTAATTTAAATCTAAAACTTTGGTTAAGATTTCCCAACTTAGGATTCATGATCATAAATGAAATGTAAAGAAATTTCAGAGGTACTGATTCTTACAAAGGCCAAGAGGTGCAAAACCTGTGTAAATACCTGGTTTCAAAGTCCTGCAAAGGATAAATGTTGCAAGTAGCACAATGGAAGAGATCCAGACCACTAGATGAGACCATCAGCAACTCATATGGGACCAGACCCATAGACAGAAAGTTTACACAAATTAAATATTAAAAACATATTTAAAACTTTGCACCCTTCCCTCCTTTGGACCGCTTCCCCTTTTAGTTTTAGCTAACATGAATTCTTAGTCATATCTGTGTTCTGGTCCAAAATACCTTAGTGATCATCTCCCCCTAGTGGTCAGGCACACCTCCATTATTGGCTATATGCAAGAACCACTTCTACATTCTGTGTCAGATGGCATTGAAACTTCCGTTTCTGTTTAAGCACAGTGGCTTTGCTTTGTTTACTCAAGATTCCTAAAGTGTGGGTAAACAATGTATGATGAAATGTTGGAGTATTATGGGTAACTCCACAGAGCTTCACGTAGAAAGGCTTTAAATTTTAGCTCTGTTCTTTATAAGATGTCGCTGCGCAGCAGGTCGCTTTTATATTAAAAGCACTCTCCTCTCTGTTGTTCCATTTGCAGGTCACTAAAATAAGACTCTTCCTGGTCAAAATCACACTTCTAGACTGAGCTATAATCCTTTATTTTCTAAATTACATTTTTGAAGCAGAAACTAAATTTCAGGAAAAAAAAATACACGTGTAAGAATTAAGTTTTTATATACCAAGTGGCCATTCAGACATTTATCATCTTGGCTGAATATGTATTTATGTTATCTGAAATATATTTCTTCTTTGTCAAAATAATACAAAAAAGAACCGGTAACAATAGGAATATGTAGATCTGAAATTATCTAAGTTTATTCGTTCTTGAATTGAGGAGGTAAGTGAGACACTTTGCCAATGGAACTTGACAATTTACATTTAAAATAAGAAAATTGTTTTATTTCAAGTGCATATTATCTAATTATCCTATTTTAAAGTAAAAATACTCATTCCATTGGCAGATCAACTTATTTACCTGCTCATATTAAAGAAAAATACACTTAATTTAAGAAGGCTCAGTAGCTTGTTATCCCTGTAGAAATCCTAATCCTAAAGCCGAGCATGCACTGTGTGATATTTTCAATCGCTGCACGCAGCTACAGCTCAAACTGTATGACGAACCCGCAGGGTATAAAAGTTCACAGCTCACTATGTATTTTCTCACACTTTGTGCTCTTAAGATCTGATGCGACCTTATGACGGCCAACTGAATTTGAAACATGTTTGATTTTCTCCCGACCTCATGATTCCTGATTGTGAGGTGGTCATGTGTTGCTGATTGCCTCTCGTTACACCCTGCCACGGCATAACGCAGCTTTGTGCATTTAGCCAATATATGCTAGTTTGTAGCTTTTCTAAATTTGCAGCTGTTTTGAAAAACGTCTTTGTTACATTTAGATAAATGTATGTAAGGAGTAAATGTACTTGGTGTGCCACAGACTTGTAACAGCATGTGTGTGTTTTTGTTCTGCACCTGAGTTTCGGTCCGGACATAAGGCACAGTCCAATCCCCAGCCCTCTCCGTACCGACAGCAGCACTCAGTGAAGGTTGTCTTTTTGTAGGGGTTCAGAGGATGCATGCACACCTTGATTTCTGTTACTTTTTGCCAGCAGATCTCCTCATAATTCTGCATCTCCATCGTTGGTTGCTCTACAAAACACATCCAGAGAGACTTTGTTTGGATCTAATATAAATTTATGTCATCAGCTGGAGAAAAGATACTATCTGCAAAAGAAGCTTTACTGTGGAGCAGGATACAACAACATTTTGTTTGGCTGCATCTCTTTAAGCAGCTTCCATGGCCATGGCTCTGACAGATCTGCCCTTGTGGTATGAGTAGGGAACAGTCAGTCTCAGTGACCTATGAACTGCCACTGTTGTACCTCACTGTATATCCATAAGTTAGACCATAGTCTATTGTGCAGAGTTCGAGGGAGTTTGGTCCTTCTTTGTGTTTTTAAAGAAAAAAAGGTCCGATTGGCTTTTTTAGAACAATGTAAGTAATGTTATTGTTCAGAGCACTGTCCTCTGAGATGTGCAATACTTTGAACTTGAAGTTTGTGACCTACTTCCCCTTCGATACTTGGGCCTTTTTATTTATTTTAGTCTTCTTCATCCTGAGTTGTGGTAGTGTTTACTGCACCAAGCTAATAGTACTTGGACCTCTTACCTTTTAGGAGATCTCAAGTTACCTTTGGGGAGACCTCAAAACACTATTGAACAAGATAGTAGGTGACATGGAGGTGCTGAGGTTAGTCCAAAAGTCCTTGATCCATAGACAAAGGAGGGACCCAAGTTGTAGTTTGTGCAGTTTACTGATCAGTTTACTGATTCAATTCAGTTTATTTCTATAGCGCCAATTCACAACACGTCATCTCAATTTCACCAGACCATACAGTCAAATTGATTCAAAGTTTTCTATCTAAGGAAAACCGACTCATTGACTCTTCAGCAATCCCTCACACTAACCATGCTTGTACCAACAGTGGAGAGGAAAAACTCCCTTTTAACAGGAAGAAACAGGACCACACCAGAAAAAAGGCCAATCTCCAACATCTATAACAAAGGTGTTGATGGCAGCAGCACAGCTGATATTTCTCTCCAGGATGGAGTCACAGCCAAACAGGAACAGACCAGATGAAGCTACTGTGAGAAAAAGCAGAGAGAGCAGAACGTTAGAGATTGAACTAACAGATTCTGCAGAGTGGGAGAATAGAGATAGAATGAAGCAGAATGATGAAAAGGTCCTCTATGTCCTCCAGAAGTCTAAGGCTATAGCAGCATAACTATAGAGACAGCTCAGGATAACCTGAGCCACTCTAACTATAAGCTTTATCACAAAGGAAAGTTTTAAGCCTAGCCTTAAAAGTAGACAGGGTGTCTGCCTCATGGACTAAAACCGGTAGTTGGTTCCACAGGAACTAAAAGATCTGAACTCCCATTCTATTTTCTATTTAAATTCTAGGAACCACTAGTAAACCTGCAGATTGAGAGTGAAGTGCTCTGTTAGGAACATAAGGAACAATCAGATCTCTGATATCAGATGGAGCTTGGCCATTTAAGGCTTTATATTTGAGAAGGAGGATTTTAAATTCTATTCTGGATTTAACAGGAAGCCAATGAAGAGAAGCCAGGATAGGAGAGATATGATCTCTCTTTTTAATTTTCATTAGAACTCTAGCTGCAGCATTTTGGATCAACTGAAGGCTTTTAACTACAGTTTGTGGACTTCCTGATCAGTTTAAATAGAGACAGCCTTATCTGTTGACTTGTAAGCATTCATCTAGATGAAAAGGCCCTCTGGGAGTTTGTTTGTTCTATGATGGTGTGGGATAAAAAATATTAAAGTATGTCTTTCCTGAGCTTAATAAGGGTGAAAGAGAAGGTCATGAGAGATAAGAAGGAGTGGTGGGGCTTTCCTCAGCCTCCCCCATGGCATGAACAGGAGGGCGACTGTTGTGAGATGTTCTATCTGGCCAGTGAAAGATAAAGTCCTTGGTTGGGGTGGGATGGTTTCCCTGGGAGTGTGTGTTGGGAGTCGTTGTATAAATGTGTGTACTGGGCTTGCCCCAGGCAGAGAGCTTTTTTTCTCTGTCTTCAGGCATAAAAATAAATCTGTGCTATTTCTCGCACCGTGTGGGTCAGTTTTCTACAAATCCACAATGGTCTCCTCCAGCTTGTTTATGGCTAAGGTACCGTTGAACCATGGCTTTCCATACACAGCAGCGACAAACATTTCCCTAGACTGAAGAGAGAGTCTGCATTTTAAAAGTAAATGTCCCAGATCTAGGCAGCATTGTTTGTGAATACCAGCAGCAGGCATACACCAAGAGTTCTTGTTATAGACACACCCTCCCTTCCTCTAATCTTAATGGAGCATGGTGGGCAGTCAGCCTTGAAGATAGCACAGCCTTTTAATTCTGCAGAATGGTTGGGGACATTTTGATGCAGCCATGGCCTAATTTTCACCATATTACCACTGTTTAAACACTTGCTCATGTCACATATATTGCTCGATCTCACCGATCGACAGTTAGATGAGCCCGAATGCTGGCTGGTTTGTCTTGCTTTGGCACCATGGTCAAGTAAATTATCTAGAAGAACAAGTCGAAACCATCTGGGTTCAAACCAGACCAGTACTGTTTAAAGACTGCATATAGGTCCTTCTCAGTGTGCCGCCTTTGCTAAATAGTGAGCTCTTTGTGGCTGCAGCTACATGTGCTGCAATTTTGGCTTATGCAGGTACTACTTCATCTATCTGTCCTTCCATCCATTCTTGCTGAGTTTCTGTTACTTAATCCCAATGGTTTAGAACAAGCATTTGGGATTCGGAGGCCCTATGCTGCTTCCATTTACCTCAGGGTTTTGAACTGGCAACTTGGAGTAATGTGAACACTGAGATAATGGCATTCGAGTTCCTGTCTTTTGGATGCTTTATTTCTTCAATGGCCATATGTGGCCATATATTTTGAGTAAAAAAAAAAAGAAAAGCATTAAAAGATTTCTTATGGACCCTAAAATCTAGCATGTGTAATTGTTACACAGACGATATAGAATGCTAAAACAGACAAAGTAGCAGTTCTTAGCAACTGCTCAAGTCACAGCCATCTTGAAAAAACAAGTCATGTAATGTCCTTTTGACTGAACGACTTGTAGCCCCAATTTTCGGGAGGTGCCAGTTGAAACTTCCTATTTAAAATGTCAGAAACAACCCTTTAGGTCAGGGGTCTTCAACGTCCATGGCGAGATGGAGCGTGGAGCCCCTAATTGTATATATATTGTATGAAATTGTGTTCTATCAAACTGGTCATATAGTCACTCGATTACAGATGGAGTAATGTAATGAATGTAATTTCTCCCTGGCATTATTAAAGTATCTCTGATTCTGATTCCTGGTTGATGGGACGGGTGTTGTGAATGAAACGGTGTCCAGCTTGAAAGAGCTCCTGTGTGTCGCTGAATGTGAGCATTGATGACTGAAAGACATCTTCTGCCTCCATTTATCTGTTTACTACAGTGAGTTGAATTCATGTTAATGTGGATTTGAAGACATTTCAATTAGTGGAAGAAAATTGCAGGGGGAATAAAAAAAAAAAATTTAATCAACCAAAACTTTCGCGACCCCCAGCAGTACCTCTGTGGACCCCCTGTTGAAGACCTCTGCTTTAAGTTATAAATGAAATAAAGCAAAAAAGAAAAGATGTCATGCTGCTAAATAACAGAGCCAACAACCGTACAGCAAGTACCATATCACCAACATTACATTACTTCCCTAGTAAAAAAGACATACTTTGATTATACTACGATGGACTGAACTTAAGATGATTTTGTAACAACTATTACTTGGTCAATTAACACTTGAGGGGGTTAGTTATCTTTTGTTCCTTTACATTTTTGGGGACTTGCTAACTGATTTCTAGGGGCTGGGTTAGGGTTAGGGGAGTGTTCCCAGGTTTGGCGTGGGTCTGTGTGTATCCTTCTCCATTGCTCATTGGGAAACAAGCAGACTGACTCCAAAGAACAAGTTAGAGATATCTCATTGTTTATTTATGGACTCCTGCTTATTATTCACAGACATCACAATTGTCTATGAGCTCTATTATCAAATCAGAGCTTTACAAAATATGAGTTAAAAAAACAAACATTAAATCTCTGATTGGTGCAAGTTATTTGTTTTTATTAGACAATATAGTGATTTTTTAACCATGTTTCAAAAAACTGAAAACTCACCAGGCAGCTGGAGATCTTCGACACAGAGATTAGAGATTTGATCCAGCACCATTGGGGGTTTACATAAGCAAATGTATGAACCTTCCGTGTTCAAACATTCTTCCCCTCCACAAATGGACTCATCCAAACACTCATTGACATCTACAGAGAAATAGACAAGTATTTCAAAAAGAAACATCATTTATCAGTTTGACAGTGAATCACAGACAATCTATTTGACACACCATTTAGCTTTTACTTTGTCTGACCTGTACATTCCAGCTTGATTGGATCGTAGTAGTGTCCGCTGGTACAGTAGCACTCGTAGCTTCCTTCTGTATTCCCACAGTAGCCACCTTTACACACCTCCTTATCAAACAGTTTGCATTCATCTACATCTGGAAGAATCAAGACAGATTCAGTTCAATTCAGTTTATTTCTATAGCGCCAATTCACAACACATGTCATCTCAAGGCACTTTACAGAGACAATTCATCCAGATCATACAGTCAAATTGATTCAAAGTCTTCTATCTGATGAAAGCCAGCTGATTGCATTGACTCATTAACTCAAAATAAATTCCTCACACCAATTACATATAAGAATAAATGGTCTGTTTTTATCAGCTGCATGTAAACGTTTTATTTCACCAAAAAACTTTTACAGAGCATTTCTGTTCATTAAACGTTCTATTTGCCCCCTTGTGCAAGTTCCTTCTTAATTACCGAATTTCCCATCCACCCTGCTTGACTTTGGATTGGTTGTCACCACCAAACAGCTACAGTATGCCTGAAACCAGATTGTAGTAAATCCTCCCTGATGTGTTTAGAAGAACATTCTTTCATCAGTTCAAAAACAAGAAAGATACCCTGAGTAGAACTACATCACTCTGTTATACTCAGGGTTGTCTTTATTAGAACAGCTGGTAACAACTGGCTTACTAAACTCTAACTCTAGTTACCCACAGTTATATTTATTTAGTATGTTGGGCCCTACTGTCCTGTTCCTTATGTTCCTAACAGAGCACTTCGCTCTCTGTCTGGAGGCAGATTTCTCCCACCCCAGCTTTTATTGTCATTACAGTGTCACAAGTAAAGAGCAACAAAATGATTTCCCTGCATTTAACCCATTCCCTTGGGGAGCAGTGGGCTGCCATAGTGCGGTGCCAGAGGAGCAGTGTGGGATTGAGGGTCTTTGCTCAGGGACCCACAGTGGCAGTCTGTGGGAGTGGTGCTTGAACTCAGAACCTCTGGTTTTCAAGCACAATGCCCTAACCACTAGGGCGCCACTCCCCGTGCTAGGCCAACACTCCCCTTAAGATCTTTTAGTTATCAGGCTCCTCTCCTGTGGAACCAACTACCAGTTTTAGTCCCTGAGGCAGACACCCCGTCTACTTGTAAGGCTAGGCTTAAAACTTTCCTTTTTGATAAAGCTTATAGTTAGAGTGACTCAGGTTATCCTGAGCTATCTCTATAGTTATGCTGCTATAGGCTTCGACTTCTGGAGGACATAGGAACCCCTTTCGATCATTCAGCTTCATATTCTCCCATTCTGCAGTTTTTGTCAATTGAAGCTCTAAATTTTGCTCTCTGTTCTCTGGTCTGGTACTGTTCCCCTGTTACACCACCCTAGAGGGAGGCATCAGCCTGGCTGCTGCTGACATTAAAATTGTCTCAGAGCTTGAAGCCCTTTATACCTTCAACTAGAGATGATAGACTTGGGCCTGTTTTTCAGTCTTTAGTCCTTCTTTTCTCTATGGGCTCAGCTTTTACTGTGAGTGACTATGCTCTTTCAACCTTTTTTCACCCATGAAAACTGTCTCAGAGGTTATCTGTTTTTTTTTCTAGACAGAGCCAGCCATTTCGGATGTTATTAATCCATTAAACGGCCGTTATTAGCGGTTCTCAGTCCTATAGAATGGATTCAGCAATCCTAACCCTAAATCTAAGGTAAGTCATTTTTTGCCAGCACAATTAATTAATGTGTATGTTTGTAATCTGAATATAATTATAGATGGATGGAATGGATGGATGGGTAGTTTTTGATCAATTGCAACCTCACTCTGTCTGGTATCCCACTATCTAGTCTATAGGCGAGGTTTTTAAAAAACTTCTAAATTCTGCCATTTTTCCTGTGTGCGCTGGTGGCTGGTATTTCCTTCCCCTTTAAGACACAGCAGTAGGTTCCAAAAAAGTAAAAAAAAAAAACAATCCACTGGACTTTGTTTCCAAGTTTAAAGACGTTTCTTTTCCCATCCAGGAAGTTTTTTCAATTCAAAATGTCAGAAATAGTTCTGAGTTCGAAGCTTTATACAGTAGGCCAACAAAGCCTTGTTTTCGCTTAGAAGGTAGGTGTGACAGTGGCGTAAGATGTAGGAGTTTGCCCTGAAATCGAAGGGTTGACGGTTCAAACCCCGGCTCTGACTTTCAGTGTTGTTGTGTCCTTAGGCAAGACACTTCACCTGCATTGTCTACTTCTGGTGGAAAAAGTGCTATATAAGTACAGGCCATTTACATGCAAATTGAAAGGGACAAACAGTTCCGTCCCTTAGGAATGGGGTTCTTTTGTTAGCCTCCAATGCCCCATACCTGTCTATATCTCTGAAAGGGGGGTCTTTAGATGGAATTGTTGGCCTGGCTGAATAGGCGAGGTCTTCTGTTCTCCTGTAATGGGCTTTGGGTTGTGATGATAGCTGGAAGGGATCAACTCAATCGCTGCATTGTAGGTTTTTGAAAGCTGAAGTCCAACCCCTCTGTTTAAGTTTGGTTTTATTTCACCAGCATACAGCAGCGTGTGTCTAATCACATGACTCCACCGATTCAGTCAGAAGCGTAAACCAAGAGAATAGTGGATGAGCCCACTGAAGAAGCGTCTCACAGCTGTAAACGAAATAACATCAGTTATTCCTGGGGAGCTGACCGAGAGCAGAGATGAAGCTGAGCGCGCAGAGAAGTGGAGAGGGCGTTGTCAGAGTTGAGCATGCGGAAGACCGGATTTTAGAAAAGGTGTACGAGTTTAAACAATGACATTGTTCTCACTGCACGCTCAGTTTTCTGGCACCAAAACTACGCCATAGATGTTGAGCAAAAGAACACGAAATACAAAATATGCCTGAAAATTGTGTAACACATCGAACAGAGTAACACATCGAACCTCCACCACCTACACTGGAAAAACGATCTAGATTTCTCAATTAAAGTGTAATTACCTTAAATTTTAGTAGGTAAATGAGATGATTTGCCAATGGAATTAGTATTTTTACTCTTAAAATAAGAGATCTAGATAAAATACACTTGAAATGAGACAATGCAATTGTGTTTTATTAAAAATTTTTCTGCTGTACATTAAGACATTGTTGAATGTTTAAACTTGAATGGGTGCAATACTTTAATATCTAATTGAAAATATTATGTAATGTGATATATTCAATAAATAAAATATAAATAGATCAGTTGTATTTTGTGTTTATGTCCTTATTTCTCATAGAGGAGCCGAAGCATTTATCGTGCATTTATCTTTATCGAGGTAAAACTGTCCAATTTATCATGATATTTATTTGAGGTCATATCGCCCAGCCCTAGATAGACGGATGCAAAAAATTTAAAAAATCTAAAACAGTTTAATCTACATTTTTTACAACATCCAGTCACGTTTGGATCAGCCGCACAGATGTTTTTTTTGTTTGGAACATTTTCACTCTGTCCACTGTCATTGGCAAGTACATATCCTTTTCCAACACTTCCCTTCTGATAAGTCTTGGCTAAGAAAGTTTAATAAACCCTGCCACTGAGCAGGGTTGGATGTGTTGCTGTGACAACTGACACATGGTATTCAACTCAATTTAATTCAGTTTATTTCTATAGCACCAATTCAACACATGTCATCTCCAGGCACTTTACAGTTCACCAGATCATCCAGTTTTCTATCTAAGGAAAACCACTTGATGGCATCGACTCATTGACTCTTCAGCAATCCCTCACACTAAGCATGCTTGTAGCGATAGTGGAGAGAAAAAACTCCCTTTTAACAGGAAGAAACCTCCAGCAGAACCAGGCTCAGTGATATTGCTTACCTGTCTTCTGAAACTGAATATCCAGGGTATTCAGATATTTACCTGAATTTTCCTCTGTGTTTTCACTTGACCTGCTTTGTGAAACAGTCCCCTGCCTTTGGCCAGAATAACATTTTTTCAACTGATAATTTTTATATTAATAATCAGTTTGTCTCTTTTTTTCATTCAGTCATGTTTATCGTCTAACATACCACAGAACTTCTGTTAGTCAAATAATATCATGGTAAAACATTTACATCTGTCCTACCTTTGTAACTGTTAGGGAGGGTTATTCCATATAACAAATCTTCATTGGGAATAAAACCTCTTCCAGAAGGACACATCTGGTTGAACTGGTCTGAAAGAGAGCAGATAGAGAGGACTTGAGCTTAAGTTGTTAGTGTAAAAAAAAAAAAAAAAAAAAAACCTTCTGTAAATACTGCAAAGAAATGTTTTCCGCCTGATGATCCAGTAGCAGGATTTAGAATAGCTTGACATTAAACATAGGATCTATTGGTCACCCTCAATATTAAATTGCTCAAAACAGTCAGGCCTCATTTCCTTACTTACTTTAGGTGCATTTTCATCAGCTTTGTCTTACGCGTATTTTGAAATATCACATCAGAAGATTGATGGAAATGGCAGAAATGAAAAAAAACTGTAAAAAACATGGTAAAATCGTTAAAAAAATTTCTACACTCACTTGAGATGGTCATTTGAGTGTCAATGTGCTAAATGTGTGGGATTATGATTAACTTTGATTTATAACTACCAGTAATTTGTTTCTTTTGTGTCTTTAAGGTTTTCAGCCCAATTCAATTCAACCAAATCAAGGAAATAAAAAATAAAGACTGAGTCACATTTGTAGCTTTGTCCCCAGATCCTTTGGGGTGTATTTAACCAGACCATTTCAAGTTAGAAAGGTGTTGGAAATGAGCTGATACCTTGACAGTTTAAGCTCACAGGGATTGTTGGCCTGGCTGAACAGGCGAGGTCTTGTGTTCCCCTGTAAAGGGGTCGGGGTCGTGATGATAGCGGGAAGGAATCAACTCTATCACTGCCTTGTAGGTATTTTAAAAACTGAAATCCAAGCAGTGGCCATCTCTGGTAGTCTATAGGCGAGGGTGGGTGGGGTTGACTGACCCCGCCCCCCACCCCGTTTAAGTTTGGTTTTCCTTTCTTAACATAGATGGCTTCCTTCAGGCCCCTCTCAAACCACCTATTTTCTTTGTCCAAAATGTGAACATTCTGGTGCTATGTTAAGAAAGAAAAACCAACCTTAATGAGAGGGGGTGGACTCAGATTTAAGCTTTCAAACACCTACAATGGAGCGACTGAGTTGATCCCTTCCCGCTATCATCAGCTAACAACACTGCAAACAAAGCAGTCGGTTTGGTCCATTCTATATGATTCTTTGAAGCAGTTTAACATAGATGTTGGGTAGTTTACATTCTAAGTGGGGTCATAACCTGAAATATGAGAATCAATGATGGCAGCATGATTATTCCCAGAAAAATTCCTATTATTTTTTTTTACCTCTGTGCTCTATAATGGAGATGTTTCTTTTGCTCTTTCTGAAGATTTGTATTGTCTGATGTTGTATTGATGACAGTGACCATAATGTTGGGAAGCAGTAGACTAGAAGTGGGCATCTCCAGTCCTAGAAGGCCCCCTTCTGCAACACTTACATGTATCTATCTTCTAACACATCTGAATGATATGCCTAAGCTTCCTCCTCACTATGCAGTCCGTTGCTCCAGATTCCTGCTAGTCGCCTAATTACTTGATTTAGGAGTGTTAACCCAAGGACAGATCTAAGAGTTACAGGCTACCAGCCTATAAGGACTGGAGTTGCCCTACTTTGGTTTATTACTTCACAACAAGATGGCCACCATTATCAATACATTAGATAATCCATCCTCCATAGTAACACTTTTTAGTGAAGCTGGATATGCCTGATGCTTAGCTGAATGTCTTGGTTAAAAACTTTAACCGTTACCCATCCAGCGCAACAGAATGGTTCCCCTGTGTTTTTCTTTTTGGATTTTAAAGCTGACCATCCTAAACCCATTTACTGTATGTAGACAGAGATTAGAAATATGAGGCTTGCACACATTTTGAATCCACCAACTCACCTGTACCGTTAACAGGACAAGGGTATACCTCACAGTTATCCCCCCACCCTGCTCCCAGAGTGCAGCAGCACTCCTGTAGCGTGACATGGCTGCTCAGCACACTCTCGCACAGGTTCTCATCATTAAGATGGTAGTAGCAATCCTTCCGCTCCACCAAAGGGCCTATAAAGAAATAAAGAAAAATTGAATATAAATTAATTATCTTAATCAAGTTAAAAAGGAAGATTTCAATCTCTTCTTAAGCCGGGCATACACTGTGCGATCTTTTCAATAGTACAATAATAATACTCAAACTGTACAACAAAACTGCAGGGTTTAAAAGTTCAAAGCTCACGATGCATGTTCTCACACTGCGGCCCGACGCTCTGATGCAATCTACATGCTCACACTGGCCGTTTGTTCCAGATCAGTGAAGCATAGATGCTGCTTCATCTTTGGTTCTAGTTCTGAGTGGACAGAGTAGGCTGAAACTAGAAGACCCGAGTGGTCTAGGAGGTTGATCTACTGACAACAGATCTGTTATGGATTGAGGTGCTGATCTATTCAGTGATTTATAGACTAAAAGAAAGATTTTGAAGTCTATCCTTTGAGCTACAGGAAGCCAGTGGAAGGACTTTAGAACCGGGCTGATGTGTTCTTCTTTCTTAGTTCTAGTGAGGACACAGGCAGCAGCGTTTTGGATCAGCTACAGCTGTGTGATGGACTTTCTAGGCCTATGAAGACACTGCTGCAGTAATCAATTCTACTGAAGATAAATGCATGAATGAGTTTCTCTAGATCCTGCTTGGACATTAGTCCTTCAATCCTGGAGATGCTCTTCAGGTGATAAAAGGTTAACTTAGAAACTGCCTTTATGAGCCTCTGAAGGTTCAGGTCTGAGTCCATCATGACACCAAGATTTAGCTTACTTAGACTTAGACTTATTTGATTAGACTTAGACTTTGATTATCCTGCCTTCCTTCGTCTGCTCAGTTCTGAACTCCTGCCTGTCCTCGGACCTTCAGGACTTCAGCTTCTGGGAGCATCTGGGCGGCGCCCGCCATGTCTGGTTGGCAGCCTAGCGGCTGGAACCAACCTCATCCACTGGGCACACACTTAACTTTAACATCAGATTAGTGACTCACACGTTCATTATCATCCTCCGCCAGATAGACGTGGTCACTAACCTGTGTTCTCCTACTGCAAAGGTTCCTGCCTTAGTTGTTGACGCTGTTCTCTGCAGTTCAATATTAAATAATAATAAAAATGTTAAACCTGTCTCTCTGCCTCGAAACTAGGTCCTTTTGTTCTGAGCCTGTCAGAATAATCTAATTAAACTTAAAATATCTCCAATTGGGGGAAAAAATTAAAACTATTAAATGTGGCTTTTTTAACATCGCTTTCTTCTAAAAGTCTGCTAGTTCATGACTTGATTTGTGATAATCACATCTATTTATGTTGCCTTACAGAAACTTGGCTGCAGCAAGAGGATTACGTGAGCATGAATGAAGCAACTCCTTCAAGTTATTTAAATTTTCACATACCCAGAAATTCTGGGCAAGGAGAACCAAAAGAAGGTTTCACTTTAGCAGATCATTGTCAGATAAATGCAGTTATAAATAATAAAGAATCTGTTTCACTTTCTCTTTCCTCTGTGTCGCTGAGCAGTGCTGCAGAAGGCAAAAGTTTAGCCTGTTCCCCTTCACAGGTTGATCATTTTGTTGATGGTGTTGCTAGTTCTCTGCGTACTGCCTTAGACGTACTATCTTAGACAGTGCAGCTTTGAAAAAGAAAAACTTTAAAAATAGAAAGCTGCCTACTTGGTTTAATGCAGAGCTGCACACTCTGAAGCAAAATGCTAGGAAACTGGAGAGAAAATGGCGCTTCACAGGCCTACAGGAATCCTACCTTGTCTGGAAAAATAATTTACTGCTGTAAAAGAGGACCCTTTGTAAAGCAAGAGCAGCATACCTCTCCTCATTAATAGAGGAGAATAAGAATAATCCTAGATATCTTTTTAATACAGTTGCCAAACTCACCTAAAGCCATAGCTCTGTTGAACCATCCATCCCACCTGCTCTAAGCAGATATGATTTTATGGGATTCTTTATAAATAAGATAGATTTTAGTAAAAAAAAAAAAGGTCATTAGCACCCAACTAACTAAAAAACGCTGTGTAAGGTAAGATATTTGTCCGATTTTGTAAATCTAAGTCAATGAGTGTGAAAACATTTAAGATTTGAATTTGTTTCCTGTCGGATCATACATACATCTTACAAGTTTGGAAGTTATGAATAAAAGTTATGAAGTTAAAACAAAACAGTAAAAATGACAGATTTATTAAGAGTCTAAAACACGGATTAAGCTATTGCACATCTTATCAATAAGTGGCAGCAATGCAATTTAAAAAATGCTTGCAAATTGTTTTTTAAACCAGAAGAGGATGAAACGACAAAACAGAGCTACTGATTGAACATGATGCTGTGAGTGCATTGAAAACATTTTGGCACAGATATAACATCCAATCGATGGTTCTGTTTTCCTATTCTTCTCAATTACAGGGGGTTTGGAGGCTAACAACCTCCAGGTGCCTTACCGCCACCAGCTTGTCAGCTCCAGGGTTACCTGTCTGGATGGGCTCACACTTGGCAATCACAACGTTGTACTCCTGTCCTTTGGGACACACACAGAGGAAGGACCCGTCCATGTTCATGCACTCTGCCTCTCCACACGCACCACTCAGAAGCTCGCACTCGTTCACATCTGGGAAGAAAGGACAGAAAGAGAGTTTTAAATTTAATAAACACAACAAATGGACAGTGTACAGATTCTAGACATGCAGGTTAACAATGCTCTGTAGAGTCATACACATCATTATTCACATTTGGGCAGAATTGCTGCTAGAATCTCCCACATTGGTAAGCAGCAGCTATTAAATCAACAGTCAACACTTTCAGCAATCCTTTAAACCAAAGGCCTGTTTAGCAAAACAGGTTTAACAAAATCAGACTCAAATCCTAAACACTGAATTGAAATGTGCTTAATAAATAAATAAGCCTCTCCCCCAAAATATTTTTAAAACCCCAAGATCCTTTTAAAGATTACCAGAAAAAAATAAATACTTGACAATACTTTGGAGTGTAAAAAAACAAACTAGGGTTCTAACTGTCCATTCATCTGTGAATTTAAGCCCAAACATTTTGAATTTGTGATAAACACTCACCTTCACAGGTCTGGCCATCCTGAGACTCCTGGTAGCCTTGGTCACAATGACAATAGAAAGAGCCCAGTCTGTTCTCACAGTCACCGTGGGGTCCACACCGTGTTTCGTTAAGCCCGCACTCATCAATGTCTGAAAAACAACACCACAGGGGAATATCTGTTCATTTTGTGACTAAATATCTCTCTTTTTAATATCCCTCCAGAAACAAATTTAATCTGTGACATTCAGTGTATAAAGGTAACCGTAATGTAATTAATGAATGCTAGCATACTTTCCAAACTGATGGACCCTAACGTGAAACAGGAAAATACTACAAGGTTTCACATAAATATACCCAGAGAGCGCTCCAGATGCTGTTTGCAGAAATCATGAGTGAGAGGGTAACAAATATTCCTTAAAGTCTAGACAGCGAGCTTAAAGTCTTCTGTCTGTTTCTCTTCCTGTTGTTTTTCTTCTGTTCTCTCTGGTTTTCTGAGGCATGGAGCAGCTTTTGACACAGTGCAGCAAACTCTCTCTGAGGAAGTGAAAACTGGAGCAGCACACTGTTAAGATATTGCAGATATTTTTCTACCCATCTTATTCCTCAGAGGGAAAGCGAAACAGACAAGGATAAGAAGAATAAGGGTGGACACCTTTAAGCATCTCAGCAATCTTCCTTAGGATGTTGTGTTTACAGCTTTCATGTTTGTTCTAAATCTATGTTAATTCCTCTCCAATTCAGTTTATTTCTATGGTAAATGGCATGTACTTATATAGCGCCTTTATTCAAGTTAGGAGACTTGACCAAAGGACACAACGACAATGAAAGTCGGAGTCGGGGCTTGAAACGTCAACACTTCGATTACAGGGCAAACTCCTCCATCCAACGCCACTGTCGCCCCTATAGCTCCAATTCACATCAAGTCATCTCAGGTCACTTTCCAAAGACACTTCAACCAGATCATCCAATCATCAATGCGAACTAGTGGCTTTCCTAGGAGGTGTCAGAGGTAATTGTGCGACCATTTCATGTGATGTAACCGGCATGCGTTACATAAGCTTGTTCTGTTATTCTTATTTTCTATTCAGGCTGGTGATATTATTGGTAAATTTCTATGAAAAACTCTTAGGAGAAAAGGCTTTGTTTTATGTAGAAGGTCTTTAATAATGTATATTTGTCAGGCCAGATTCCCTTTTATGGGTGGAAAAATGCATTTGGCCACTTTTGGCACCGCTATGTCTAAATCATATTTGCGCCTATCACACTGCCCACTAAAAACTTTGTGGAACAAACATGCTTCAACTTATTCAGTTCAAATTTGCTTGACTTAGGGATCATCCAGAGTTTCAAATGGGGTTTCATGGTGTTTTGCAGCGTTTATTTTGGAAAAAATTCTGCCGAGTCTAAATATTTTTCATTTTTTCTTTGTTTAATTACCTATAAATCAGACATGGTGACATTTAAAATAATGGTTCTACCTAAAAAATATTCCTCAATACCTTTCTGTCACACTGATAAAAACAATTGTTTTTCCAATTTAGTTTGGGAGCTGTACTTGCTTTAATTCACATAAGTAATTTCAGGCAGAATTTGCTCCTAAGACCCTCTGGGCTTATGGGGTCAAATATACAGTATTTGACAAGGTTTCATTGAGTTGAACTCTAGCTTGTGGTTCTGCTTCTTACCATCACAAGAAGGCGAATGAAGGCTGGCAGCGAATCCACTGTCACACACACACAGATAGGAGCCTTCGGTGTTCAGACACGTTCCATGAGGGGAGCAAAGTTCTTCCACACATTCATCCACATCTGTTAAGGAAGCCAAGGGAGGATGCGGTTGGGACAGAGAGCCAGAATATTGGGACAGCTGGAACTTTAAATATCCAAACTGATAACCATAACAAGCACATATAAAAGCCAGTGGTGGTTGATCAGGAGCAGTAGGTCTGACAGAGTGGGACAAGTCACCTGTGCAATTGGTGCTGCTGATCTGTTTGTAACCCTCAGGGCAGATGCAGGTGTAGGAGCCGACATTGTTCACACACTCTCCCACATCCTGACAAGGAGAGGCTTCCTCCTGACACTCATCCACATCTGGAAGGTATTCACAGTTCAACAACTTTTTCACATGTAGTGATGATTCAGCCTTACAAGGACAAACTGCTTTATTTCTCATTACAAAGGAGGACATAGGGACCCCTAAGTATAATTCTGCTTCCTTCTATCTCTATTCTCCCACTCCGCAGATTCTATTAGTTCAATCTCTAACGTTCTGCTCTCTCTGCTTTTTCTCATAGTAGCTTCATCTGGTCTGTTCCTGTTTGGCTGTGACTCCATCCTGGAGAGAAATATCAGCTGTGCTGCTGCCATCAACACCTTTGTTTAGAGATGTTGGAGCTTTGCCTGTTTTTCAGTGTAGTCCTGTTTCTCTGACTGTAACTAAATGGATGTGCTCTCTTCATCCTCTGACATGGGAGCCGGCTCAGAGCTCGTCTGCATGGTTGTGCGTTTCCTGGATGGAGCCGCCTTTTAGAGTAGCCTTTCGTATCTCTGCCTCTGTCTCCTTGAACCCCAGTCGGCCTCAGCAGATGGCCGCTCACGCTGAGCCTGGTTCTGCTGGAGGTTTCTTCCTGTTAGAAGGGAGTTGTTCCTTTCCACTGTCGCTACAAGCATGCTTAGTGTCAAGGATTGCCTTCAAGTCAATGAGTCGATGCAATCAACCAACATCTACAAACAAAGGTGTTGATGGCAGCAGCACAGCTGATATTTCTCCCCAGGATGGAGTCACAGCCAAACTGGAACAGAGTGGGAGAATAGAGATAGAATGAAGCAGAAATGAGAAAATGGGGTCTCTATGTCCTCCAGAAGTGGTTAAAAAGAGAAAAAAAGATAAATCACATTTCCATTATTATTTACACACTTAGCTAAGTAAATGTGGAGGCTTTTGTCAGTGGAGTTGGCTTCCATAGGATCAAAGCATTGTCATACACAACATTTTTCTCTAGAGTCCATTTAACTTTGTTAATCTAATGTAACACTTAAATTTATGAGAAAGACAAAGAGTTAATTGTTATTTCCAATAGGCATTTACATAAATAAACTAATAAATCTGTGTAATTCATGAGTTTATACTTTTGAACTAAAAAAACAGATAAATTAGCCAAAAGTCAGGGCACAATATACATAAAAATTAACAACATTCAGGTCAGTGTAAGAACTAGTATACCATCACACTCGTCTCCAGTTGAGGACAACCGGAAGCCTGGCGAGCAGCGGCACAGGAAGGAGCCTTCGGTGTTCAGGCACTGGCCTCTGATACACACTCGCTCATCTTGGCACTCGTCTATATCTGAAGTGGTACAAAGGTTATCTTACCACATTGTCAGTAAGATGCAAACATGACAGGAAAGCACAGGATAACATTCATTGGACAGAGACTTTATGCACAGGGTCAGACCTACCAATGCAGTGACCTTCGTGGCCGACAAACCCATGAGGACAGGAGCCACAGCTATAGCCTCCTGGCTCATTGTAGCAAATCCCTGAAGGACAAACCGTCTTGTTTTCACACTCATCAATATCTGTGAAGAGGAGACCAGATTTAAAACAGTCAGCTGTTATTTTGACCCCAGCTGTAATTTCTGGTGGGTGCACAAATGAGAATGGGATGTTCTCGTCCGTCCCCTGCAAAAGGAGAGCAGTTGCTATAGCAACATAGTGAAATCCTGTGGTGCAGGTTGACATGACATCAAACATTTGCTCTTTTCTGAAAAATAAATTTACTTGTTCAACTCAAGTCAACTATATTTATAGCCCTTTAAACAACTACAGCTCTAAAAAAAGGCTTTACATACAAAGGAAAGTTCAAAATATATAAAAACAACATAGAAGTTTAAAAGAATAAAACTAAATACATAAAACCTCATAAAACCACATAAAAGGGAAGAGGTGGAGAAGATCAGCAATGTAAAGAGGAGCCAAACCATTTAAAGACTTAAAAACAAATAAAATAATCTTAAAATGAACTCTAGAACGCACAGGCAGCTAATGAAGGGAGGCCAAGATTTTAAAAAAATTATAAAAGACGTCCTTCCCAGTGACGTCTTGTAGCTTTTTTCCTAACTTGTGATTTTCTGCCAATGTGACTTAAATTTCAATGCCAGTGTTTCCTCCGCCATTAGTTTAGTTACACCCGCTGGCAAATTCCAGTCATTATTTAAGGGCTGAAAGGTCCACTGGCCCTTGGTGACCCGTAGGAACGTGCTTACTATTCAAATACAAGCTCTTCACCTGTGCTATGTGAAATTGTCCTTGACCCTGAACTGTCTATGGAGCTCAGACAGTTCTGTTCTCTCTCTGTCCCCTGCTCTCTGTAATCCACTCAAAAAGCTTTTTTTCTCTCTCCCATATATTCTCCTCCTGTTCAGTCACTCTTTACTGGTTTTCCCTCATTACTTTGTCCCCTTCTTGTTGTGAGTATTCTTGGTTTTGAGCATTTTGGGATTTTTGCTTCTGTCAAACTTTCGTCATTAAAACATTAAAGCAACCACGTCAAGCTTTTGTCTACATCTGGGTCCTGTCAAACCTCCACCTCCAGTGTGACACAATATTAGTAGGAAGTATCCTGCTTCCTATTTTTCCAACATCAACCTAACCTTTCATTTAGTAGGACATTTTTTATCTGACCGGCTGCCGAAGGTTTTTAGATTAGAAGGACTGATCTTAAAGACAATTTAGGAAACCCAAATGTATCTGTTAGTCTCCTCATGCAATAGTTTCTTAGTGCTCTTATTATACAGTAGCAACCATGTAAAATGGCCCTTCCCAGTCAAAGCCAGCTGACTGGCAGCCCCACTTCACTGCAAAATCTCTTCCAACTTCAAACTCCACACTTTCACTGGATTACAGGGTCTGACCAGGAGATGATGCTTCTCCTTAGATGTTAATGTCCACAAATCATGACAGAAAAGTTTATTACAAAGACTGATGTTTAAAAAGCAATTGTAGGGGACCATCCAAGGACCAGAGAAGGGCCCATCAAGGAAAGTGGGGACATTTTGAATGGCTGCTACCGTATTTGCATCCCTTGACGCATGTTTTAGAGGACTTCTGTCTCTCCATCCTTACCCACACAGGTGGCCTGGCTGTCATCCAGGTGGTATCCTACGTCACAGTGGCAGGTGTAGCCCTCCACTGTGTTGTAACAAACCCCTTGTCCACATATGTCAGGGTTGATCTGGCATTCATCCACCTCTGAGAGAAGAGAAAAGGAGCAGAGGAATATTGACAGCATTAAAAAACACAATGAGACCCTACAGTGTGTTGTCATAACAAACTTCCAATAACATCCAGCAAGCAGCAGTTGACGGCAGCCTCACAGTGTTGGAATGTGATGAAGACTGAGAAAACATGAAACCTGGAGAAAAAAAGGTGAGTCAGGAATGTGAGACTGACCTGCAAATTGCGTGGGTGCGATGTCCTGCCCTGCGTTGGATGGGAGGATCTTCACTGGTGCAGGAGGAGACGTCTTTTCAACAACTTCTACCAAATGATAAAAAGAAATAAATGTTTCTACAAATAAAACATACACAAAGGATGGAATTATTGAAAAATATGTTAAGCAGTAAAACATGAGAATATGGTATCATATATATCATAAAAAGGTGTATGAAAAGGGACCTAGTATTGAACCAAGTTGTATTTATTTTCCTGAAAATGTAATTCCAAAAAGTTAAAGTTAAAAGCAAACCAGTGGAATTTGTTTTCCAAGTTTGAGGATGTGTTGCTTCCCGTCCAGGAAGCTTTTTCAATTCAAAATTGAAAAAGAAGAGGCTGGTGCTATGTAAACGGGGTCTGTCTACCTTATATTCCATAAATAAGTGTACAGTTGGTGGTACTGAGTTGGAGTTAAGTTAACTAAAAAGGTGTAACACAGAACTGACTGATAAAGTTTTGCTACATATTTGAAAACCAGCTAAACCAAAAAGGGGGAAAAAAAGTAAAAGTAGCATCAGAAACATAGTATTTCCAGTCCTGTGCCAAAAGTGTAACAGAATAAACCTGATCAAACAAAAAATAAATAAAACTGAAACAAAGACTGACCTGGTAGAATCTCCTCTGTTGTCCCAAAAGCCTCCACTGGTTTCTCTGGTGTTGGGAGGGGTTGAAAGGATGACCAATCCTGCGGCTCCGTAATCACAGTCACTGGTTTGTTTACAGGAGGGTTTGGTAAAATGGTGTAGCCCATTCCACCAGGGCAGATTTCTTTAAACTTAGCTACAAAATGACAAAAACACAGATAACATATCAATACTTTTTTTTTGAAGCATTAGGGTGCAGACTGAATGTAAAAGAAGAAACGAGGTATTCTAAATGCAGCAAATAAACAAATATAAATAAAATTACAGGAATGCTGGGACTCATTGTCAACAGAATATGAGAAGAAAGTATGTAAATTTACTCTAGAGATTAAACTATGAATCAATTTTTTGTAAATTTAGCTGCTTTTACCACATTTGGAGAAACATTTATCAATAAAATCTGGAAAGAAATAAGACAGACTGTTTAACTGTTTATAATTTTTACAGAGCTACTTTAAGGCTGTGAGGAAACTTCAAATATTCTACAAAAAAAATCCAATTAAACTTTAGCTTACAGTCCAAATACCTAAGATTTTTTAAGTGTGATCTTCACTTTGAATATAGAAAACGTAAACCTGGATACAGACAGTAATTCAAATTAAAATCAAGACTATCTTGATGGCAGGACACTGTTCAAGAAAGCAAAAATTGACCCTTTGCTGAGTTCTACCAATGACCAGTCACACGTTAGCAACCATGCAATGTTTACAATACAACAAAAATACAGTGTTTTAGAAATGTTTTTACCTCCATTGCTTCATTCCACATTGTTAAGAAAGGTTTATTATTTCGTCTTCATATGTTTTCCTTAACAAGAGCACTTCGCTCTCAGTCTGCAGGTTTACTAGTGGTTCCTAGAATTTCAAAAGTAGAATGGGAGGCAGATCTTTATCAGGCTCCTCTCCTGTGGAACCAACTACTGGTTTTAGTCTGTGAGGCAGACACCCTGTCTACTTTTAAGGCTAGGATTAAAACTTTCCTTTTTGATAAAGCTTATAGTTAGAGTGGTTTAGGTTAACCTGAGCTATCTCTATAGTTATGCTGCTATAGGCTTAGACTGCTGGAGGACATAGGGATCCATTTCATCATTCTGCTTCATTCTATCACTATTCTCCCACTCTGCCGAATCTATTAGTTCAATCTCTAATGTTCTGCTCTCTCTGCTTTTTCTAATAGTAGCTTCATCTGGTCTGTTCCTGTTTGGCTGTGACTCCATCCTTGACAGAATTATCAGCTGTGCTGCTGCCATCAACATCTTTGTTTATAGATGTTGGAGATCTGCCTGTTTTTCAGTGTAGTCCTGTTTCTCTGACTGTGACTAACAGATGGCCGCTCACACTGATCCTGGTTCTGCTGGAGGTTTCTTCCTGTTAAAAGAGTTTTTCCTCTCCACTGTCGCTACAAGCATGCTTGGTGTGAGGGATTGCGGAAAAGTCAATGAGTCGATGCAATCAACTGGTTTTCCTTAGATAGAAAACTTTGAACCAATCTTACTGGATGATCTGGTTGAATTATCTCTGTAGAGTGACCTGAGATGACATGATGTGAATTAGCGCTATTGAAATAGACTGAATAATAAACTGAATTGATATCAAACACAATGCAAGAGGGACAATCAGGAACTAGCTAGGATTGTGGGTGTCCGCGTGTCAGTTTGAAGAGCTTGTTCACCGTCTACAGCCCCTTATCCAATGCCAGACAACACACAGTTCACCCGTGAGTGTTCCCTAATGACTGGCCATGGCACTGCGTGTTTTGGCTTCGGCTGCAAACCAACAGACCGTCGCACAGAGCTACAAACTAGCATCCTGCACGGTGTCTGGGATAGTGTCCGAGGTGTGCCAGGCGCTGTGGATGGCACTACAGCCACAGTTTCTGCCATTAGGTACCAAACAGGAAATATCCATAGTATAGAGCGGATGTAGAACTGACCAATCAGAGGCCCGCTGTCTGCAATACTGTCTGCTGTCAACTACAATTTTGGGAAGGTGCACCAGCGTGTCTGCAAAGGGGGCGGGGCTTATCTGCATTAACTGCGACACACGCAGACAACCTGGTTTCTGAGCATAAACCAGGCTTTAGACTGCATGCACATTTTCAGGAGGCATGTCTTGTGTGGTTTTCAAAGGACCTAAAAATTACAACTTGGGTTTATTGTCCTTGTTGTCATTGGTTATGATTATTTTTAAAAGGATAAAGACAGTGAACAACTTTACATCATGTTTGCTACAAGCCAAACAAAACCTAATCATATCTGTGTTATGGATATGAATGTATTCATATCAATTTGGATTGTGCTAAAACCAATTTTAATTATATTTTCAGTAGCAAAGGGAGGCAGAAGTTCCAGCCATTGGTCCTTGAATTTAAAGAAAATAAGTCTGGAAAATCCTTGAATATTCTTGAATTTGATGTTAACTAAAGATGGGAGCCCTGCAATGTATTTCATCTGGTTAGTTCCTTTAGCTAAAGGGAAAAGTGCATGAGGCTTGATCATAATGAGTGAGATTATGTTTATTTTATTTTTGTTAACAAATTTTTTATTATTTTTATTTCTAGTTAATATAGTTTTTATGAAAATGCATTACAGGATGTGCTCTCGGCTTGCTATTTGACCTCTATCAATGCCGTAAGCTCCCTTAAACATGGCCAAACCATCCACCAGGCAAGGTCAGCTTATTTTGGAGAAATGATAAATACTCAGTGAGGCTAGGAGCCTTACCTGATCCAGGATGGGGGCATTTGTCACAGTGAGGGCCCCAGGCTTTGCCCACACTGCAGCAGCAAAGCTGTTTGCTCAGCTGGGCAGATACCGGGTGTAAACATTGCCTTGCCGAGCTGACCAAGCGGAAGCAAGAACCCTTTTCTTCCTGGATGGTGGGTGTGTTGGCTGAAGACGAGTGCAGGAGGAGGACGAAGAGGGCGGAGGAAATGGTAGGCCAAAGTGTAGAAGATACATATTGAAGAGGGAGAACAAAAAGTGGAGAAATAAAGCAGTTCCCATCACCAAAGTTAATATTCCCCAGCCAGAGTCTAAGACCCAATCCCAATACACACCCTAGCCCTACTTTTAGCCTTAACCCTAAATGTTGCACATTCTTTTGAGGGCAGTGGTGTCCCAATTCCTCTTTACATGTATGGCTAGTGGATATACGGGATAGGGGTATGAACCTAGCCCTTAAAAACAAGGAGTTCAGAGAAAACATGGAGGACATGGCTTTTTCGAATCGACTTACAGTTTTGTTTGCTTTTTTTACTTTTGAAAGTAAAAACAAATCCATTAGCGTCTGCCTTCTGGGTTCCCCTGATTCTCTCATACAACAGATGTTAAGGGAAACGGTGTTTTGAAAATCAGAATGAGACCGCAAGCAGAGAAAGCCCCTGAAACGGAAACAGGCTGCCAACCATGCCCCCATCTGGAAATAAGGAATGACAGCAAGAGGTCGGAGGACCCCACTGTGTAAACAGGACACCAGAGCGGTTAGAGAAGGCAACAGCTTGCTGTATCCAGCACAGGAAGAGAGTGGAGAAGCACAGTATCTTATTATACTTGACAAAGGAAAAGGATAGTTAATCAAGCACAACCTAATTCCCTTTTAACAATTTCAGGATCAATGGTTGTTTTTTGTTTTTTTTGTCTCCTCTCCTCTCTTATGGTGGCACCTATCTTATGTATATGCATAATTTACATACCAGAAGGTCAAGGGCTGTCCCAATTCCTAGGGAAGATGACCAATCCCTAACAAATCCAGGGTGTGTGGGTAGTGGGCAAAGACTAGTGATAGCAAGTAGAGCTATGGGTTGAAAGTAGGGGGTTTATTGGGACTGGGCCTAAATAGGAACCCCAAAACTGACCCCAGCACATAAACAGCCATTATACCACTAGATGAATGACAACAACATTTTGGCATCTAAGCAAAGATAAATGTATGGAAACACAACAAGTTGAAAGGAAACAAGCAAATACTTCATGCACTAAACAGAAGGCTGGGCTAAGGTCAAAGAATGCAGGAGGTTCAGCCTGGATCTCTCCTCTAAAACGCATCAATATGTTTTTGTACGACCGAAAACTTCAGTTATTTCACTATCGGGTAAAAATCAACACTCAAATTATGTTTTTAATAAAAAGGTTACATTTCTTTTCAGTTATCAACGAGATTGATGTCTGAATTGAATTACTGTCTTTAAGAATTTCAATAAAGTACATACAGCCATCAAGGTGATGAATGTCAAACTCTAAACCTTCTATAACAATTTTATACTACGTAAAAAAATATATACATATATATATATTAGGGAAGCACGATATAATCGGCCCCCTATCGGTATCGGCCTTAAAACTGAATATCGGACATCGGCCACCCCACCGATATTTAACCCGATATTTGATCAGCTTCTGAGTTTCTAAAGTCTAAAAAAAAAAAAAATACTGCTTCTTCTTCTTCCTCAAAAACTTCTTTTTTACAGACTTAAAAACTTCTAAAGATGAGGGAAAAAATATTGATACATTAAAATATCACAATATCTTCATATGCTGATATATTGCCATTTAAAAACACCATACCAATCTCTTTTACTAATGAAATATTGCTATATGTCCTCATTATGCTACGAAATCCCCCACAAATTAACAAACTTTTGCCACATTTTTATATGTTGATATATTGAGGCGGTATCGATCTATTTTACTAACAAAATATCACAAGAATTTGCAAAATATCACGAGAGTTTGTAACAGAACGATGAAATTTCACAAGATTTTTAAAGTAAAATAGATCGATACCGCGTTTTAAAAAATCTATTTGATATCAGCATAAGAAAATATATTTGAGTATGTTATTTTTCAAAGTGTCAGAAATGAATAATAAAACTGCTATTTTCAATGACTACTTATTTTTGTCCAGCTTTAACATCGGTATTGGTGTCGGTTATCGGCTACATGAGTTTTAAAATATCGGCATATCGGATATCGGCCAAAATCCCAATATCGTGCATCCCTAATATATATATATATATAACACTGAGATGATTTTTAAAAAATGTGACGTAATGGTAATGTTTGATTTTTGATAATAAAGAAGTCAAGCTCTGTTCTAGGAACTCCTCTAGAACCTTTGGAGATGATTTCACAGAGAAGGATTCTTCATAAAGTGAAGATGATGAGGGATAACAGTGAACATCCTCTTCATCAGACCAACTGAGGCTTCGTTCAGGCAGCAGCCTGAAGTGACCCAGATCTGATTATTTTTCCCCATATGCGACCTGGATCTGATCTTTTCATGACAGTCTGAACAAAACTGATTTTCTTCCAATGCGACCCAGGCCACTTGGCTCTGTGGTCCTGAATCCCATAGAAATCTGATCTTTTCAGAAACAACCTGTATCTGAATGGCCTGAATGGCATTAATATTAAACAAAGGTCACTATTCTGCATCTTGCTACGCAGAAGCAGAAGGAAAAGTCAATAATGCCCAGAGCGCTCTGGCACTACCATCCATGTTTACTTCCATAAACACAGAGCATGCTCGCTTCCTGTGACATCATTACGTCCTCTACTGAGCAAGTGGGACACTTAAGTTTTATGAATGCAGTTCAAACAGGAAATCACAAACAAGTCCCATATATTAGTGTTGTGCCATAAACCATGATCATAATTTTGGACATTGAGAACCAATGTCCACGTTTCCTCTTAACATGATCACTGGAGAAGATGATGCTGTCTTACCCATAAAACAGCTGTGAGACCTCTCTTCTCTGCTCTGCAACCCCCTCTCAGCCAACTGGCTCCACAGGACCCCTCCCAGAGGTGTGTTATATGGTTTTCAACCATGTTTCCCCTTCCTCTTTGTACATAGTAGTTTAGTTTCATAGAGTTCACTAGTTTTTTAGTCAAGCGTTTTTAACTGAAATATGTTTGACTTGCAGCTTAATGATTTTTGTTAATAAACTCTATTTTCAACAGAAGTTGTGGTGAATTTATTCCAGGTATGTTCAGAATTATCTGTTTGACCATAATTTGAGCTCAAATTATTATTCTAACACACAGCTAGTAGGGAGTGTACTCATAAACAATATATGACAGTCCAAATAATATCTGATTAAAAAAGGATATTTGCCACCCCTACCAGGGAAGGCAATAAACATCTTAAAGTATCACAACATAATATGAATTCCCAGCTGGCTGGGAATTGAATATAACAGTTATTCACCACATTAGGAAATGTGAACGACCTTGCAGACATATTGGACTCCACAAAAAAATCAGAATTGAACATCAAGGCCTGCGGTGTGAACGTCTTCAATCAGAAGTTTTTCCAGATCTCAACAGAAGATCTTTCCTTCCTACTACAGCTATAAAGGCCTACAAAACCTGGATAAAAACAAACCTGAGTTTCAGCAACATTTCATGATCTTCATCTGATCTGGTTGAATTGTCTGTAAAGTGCCTTGAGGTGACATGATGTAAATTGGAGCTATAGAAATAAACTGAATTGAAATTTAATTGAACATTTAGTTTTCCTTTGGGAATAAGGAAGTATTTTTGAATTTTCTATCTAAGCAACAAGCTTTTAGAAAACCACAACACAGTGGTTTCAGCACAGTCTCTATGACTTTTTGAAGTACGACGAAATTTAAAATAAAGACGTGTTGCTTTACATAGAGAAGTAAAAGGCGTTTATCAGCCTCACCCTACCAGCCATCCAAGTCCTCAGAAAAGCTTTAGAGGGAGCCTGTGGGCTGGTTGGTGCAAAAATGTAACATTAATAATGACTTTTCCTCTTCCGCTTTAAATCATTCAAACAATATAGCTGTTTTTGGTTAATGGAAAAGTCCGGTCATAACCAGAATTCAAACTCCTGAAAGTACTTTAACAGGGTTTATACAGGAATGAGTAACTCTAATTTAATGCCTTTTGATGCTAATTTAATGCATTTTAATGCATCAACAAGTACCCATGACTCTCATATATATATATATATATATATATATATATATATATATATATATATATATATATATATATATATATATATATATATATATATATATATATATATATATATATATATATATTTTGTAACAACTGCCAAAAGACTACCAAGAAAACCTGTCATTCTCTTTAGCCCAGCGGCCTCTAATGGGGATGCATAATGCAACGCCAGCCACTACTGTAGCTTCTATTCTATGCTCCTTATAATGCGGTGCGCCTTATAGTGCGGAAAATACGGTACTCTTTGTAGCCAACACCTACAGACATTTACTCCACATTGCACTACTGACATGACTGATGAGAATTACTGACAGTTATATTATTTATGCATATTTGTCTGTAATTTGATCAACAGAGGTTTGTTGTCGTTACCTTGTGTGAACACTGTTCCAGTTTCAGTGACAGAAATATCCAAATGAAAGTATGTAAACTAGCAAAGCTCAGTATGCGGTCCTGTGTATCAGTGATTACTGTGAATATAAAAAGGTTTGATTAAGTAAACTATTAGAGTTCCTGAGTGAAGGACTTGCGTATGCAGGAGGTGAGAGTGGAGTCGGGGCTGTAGCCAGGTTTACATGTGCACATGTAACTGCCCATCGTATTCAGACACTCTCCATTAGAGCAAACACTCTGCAGCTGGCATTCATCCATATCTGTCAATTATTTAAAAAGGAAGACATAATAATTATAAAGAATGCAGTTGCATTACAAAGTGACAGATTGGATATAAATCAGCAGGATCTTTTGGTTTTCAAAAAGATGTTTTCGTTTTTAAGCTTTGTTCTTAACAACAACTTCATATCTTATTGCCTGCTAATTGTTATTAAGGATCCCATATTATGCAAAATTCACATTCCAAACATTTTGTAACAGTCGTGTGTCCTGCAGCCTGTGTATGAGATTCCCAAATGAAAACCATCCGTTCACCTCTATCACTGCCGGTCTCCAGCTCTTAGCTAATGTGTGCTAAAAGTGCTGTTTGAAGAGAATTCCCCTGATGATGTAAAAAGGGGATATACGCTATCCAGAGCCATCTGTAGCAGCCCATCACTCAAGCTACGGCCTTTGTCTAATGCAGAGGTCTTCAACAGGGGGTCCGTGACCCCTAGGGGGTCCACGGAGGAACTGCATGGGGTCACAAATGTTTTGGTTGATTAGACTTTTTTTAATATTCCCCCCTGCAATTTTTTTCCCCCTAACTGAAATGTCTTTAAATCCACATTTTCATGAATTCAACACACTGTGGTAAACAGATAAATGGAGGCAGCAGATGTCTTTCAGTCATCAATGCACACATTCAGCGACACACAGGAGCTCTTTCAAGCTGGGCACCGTTTCATTCACAACACTTGTCCCATCAACCAGGAATCAGAAATACTTTAATAATCCCAGGGAGAAATTACTTTCATTACATTACTCCATCTGTAATAGAGTGACTATGTATATATAACATAATTTCTTACAATATATATAATTAGTGGGTCGCCGCTCCATCTTGCCATCAGTTTGGGGGTCCTTGGCCTGGAAAACATTGAAGACCCCTGTTCTAATGCCAAAGTAGGGCTGAATATTGGTATATATATATGATATGAAACAGGACTACACTGAAAAACAAGCCAATATATATATATATATATATATATATATATATATATATATATATATATATATATATATATATATATATATATATATATATATATATATATATATATATATATACACACACACATCTGGTCTGGTCCAGTTTGGCTGAGACTCCATCCTGGAGAGAAATATCAGCTGTGCTGCTGCCATCAACACCTTTGTAAGTAGATGTTCAAGCTTGGCTTGTTTCTCAGTGTAGTCCTGTTTCTCTAACTGTGACTAACTGGATGTGCTCTCTTCATCCTCTGATATGCGAGCTGGCTTGGAGCTCGTCGGCCTGGCTGTGTTTCCTGGACCGGGCCGCCTTTTACAGCTGCTTTTTGTATCTCTGCTTCTGTCTCCTTGAACCCCAGTCGACCTCAGCAGATGGCCGCTCACACTGAGCCTGGTTCTGCTGGAGGTTTCTTCCTGTTAAAAGGGAGTTTTCCTCTCCACTGTCGCTACAAGCATGCTTAGTGTGAGGGATTGCCTTAAAGTCAATGAGTCGATGCAATCAACTGCTTTTCCTTAGATAGAAAACTGAAATACAGCGACCTCAACCTCTGCAGTCCATTTCCCTGTTCTAGGGATTACTTATTCAAAATGGGAGGAAATCAAAAGATTTACTTCCTTAAAGATCTTTTTAACCTCTATTTAACCCTTGAAAATCATCTACAGGCATATATATGATGAAACAATTGCCTTTACTGTTACAGAGTGGGTCATGAAATTCTTAATTCAATTCAGTTTATTTATATAGCGCCAATTCACAACACGTCATCTCAAGGCACTTTACAGTTCACCAGATCATCCAGTCAAATATCAAACAACATGGGATGAATTTAAACATCATATCATTTAATGATATGGATCTGACTTCTGATCGGTCAAAATGATGCCCAATGTATCCCACCTGTTAAGTCGACTGCAGGCATGTGTGGAGTAAAACATGTCAAGCTATGTCTGTTCTTAGCCTCACAGGCTCTAAACGAAGGTCTTGAGAGATAAGAATGAGTTACACAGCCTCCTTCATGGCATGAAGGGGTGGACTGTTGTTTTGAGGAGATTCATCTGGCCAGTGAAAGATATTTTAAAGGGGTGATAGAATGATTCTATAGGGTATTTGGTGCTGGTCCCTAAGGTCTCTGAATAGGGTGTGTAAAATTGGTTGGGCTGAAAATGTTATATTTACTGTTCTATGAGCCCTAATGAGAGCCTGGTTAAAAGCCCTACACTGTAAAAACGAAAGTTAGTTCAACTCAAATTTTCAAGGCAACCAACTGCACAGAATTTTTGAGTTGAACTACATTTATTAAGTTGTGTCAGCTAAGTTTTTTAATTCAAGTTACTGGAACTTTCAAGTCTGTAAAAACTTATTATTTTAAGTTCAGATTATCTGTAAAATGTTATTTTAAATTCAGATTACCATCCCCTGTAATAACTTAGATTTTTTAGTTTAAATCCCCCCCATTAAATCATCCACTGACAGTAAACCATCCATCCATTTTCTTACACACTTGTCCCAAGTGGGGCGGGGTACACCCTGGAAAGGTCACCAGGACTAACAACTATTCACTCACACCTAAGGACAATTTAGAGACGGACTGTGGGAGGAAGCCGGAGTACCCAGAGAGAACCCACACATGCTCAGGGAGAACATGCAAACTCCATGCAGAAAGACCCCAGGCCAGGAATCAAACCCAGAACCTTCTTGCTGCAAGTTGCTGCACTGAGCAGCCCTGACAGTAAAGCAGTTAAATTTTCCATGTTTATTTGAACCACTTTGGCAAAAACAGGTTTACAATTCCACAATGTAAACAAGTAATCTTATGCTTAAAGCAAATCAGGTTTCAGCATATATTTTTTTACTTTCCAACTCCTGTTAAAACCTTACAAATAATGCAATATTGCCAGAGATGACAGGAAACCAGTCTTAGTCTTCTCTTTGACGAGTCCTCAGGGAAAGTTACCGCTAGCAGAGCGACCAGATGGCTGAACCAAACTTTAGAAGGGAGCTCCTGGGAAAATCCATGGAAACCCTGTAGCAGCCGGTTGCCATGACAAATTTGAAATGAGCATGCGCAGATAAGTTGACCTCGCTCGGACTGGGTGTCAACTACAACTTCTAAGTAAACTCAACTTAATTTATAGAATAAGATGAACTTTTCATCAGAAACTTATGAAAGTGAGTTCAACTGGCTCACAAAAGACAGTTCAAGTTCCAACTGGCAATTTTATTGTCAGTGAATGCAAAAATCTTAGTAAGGTGAACAATTTTGAGTTGTCGTTTTTACCTGTCGTTTCATTCTATAGAATGAAACGACAGGTTTTCTTCCTTTATGGTATTCTCAGGTATATTTAGATTGGTTGGTTTACAACGAGCGAAGCTGCTGAGCAAAGACGCATCATAGCAACAAGCACTCACTCACTGAAACATCAAATTGTTGGTGACCAGATGTCCTCTTTTTCCCGGACATGTCCTACTTTTCATTTTCTAAAAAAATCCAAAGGGAATTTTAAAATCACCCAGGATTTTGGTCGACTACAGTGCAGCACGTGGTCGAAACACACAGGGCATTCAAAGCGAGCCGTCAGCTCCGGGGCTGATCCGGGAACCCCGGCGGAGGGGGGCAGGGAGCCAGCTGGGTACGGAGTGACCGAGCCCGACCCGGTGACAGTAGACAAGACACAGGTGGTCCTGTGCTTCCCCCCGCCTGCCTTGGAATGCTCGTTGAACAGAGCAATGCTTTGGACAGACATGCACAGGTTTCACAGGGAACCTCCTCCTCACACTCTGCTCTCTTTAGTTGTCGGCGCAATTGATCTAGTAGATCTAATCCACACATGGTGCACAAATTATTTTATTGCCTGCACGCTCCCACTCGCATTAAAAAAAAACCACCTCACGAAGTCTAAAGTCTGGGATAATTTATCCGACTCGCGGGCATCCATGAACAGCTACCTATATCAAGGAGATTCCTGGAACTTCCGGGAGATTTGGGATGTCTGTTACCAGCCCCCCCTCCTCCGGCTGAGTACGGGCGGCTCATGGCTCTCTGCTGAGATCCGGTCCAGTCAGCAGCAGTTGACACTTCATACGCCCCTTACCTTGACCTCAATTCGGTGTTTCGTTTGGAATAGCCCGTTTGATGGTGGAAGTTTAGAATTGAGATATTTGCAGAGAAAGGAGGTGTTGATGGGATTTGAACTTCTCTGTACGTCCATTTCACCCACTGAACTATTGTTATTCATCTATAACAATGGAAACTCGGCTTTGCATTCTATGACCCCTTTAACCTAACAGGGAATGGCCTTGATGAACTCAAAGTGTGTGGAAGTTCTTTATGCAGGGGGACAGGTTGGTTCCCCTGGGGGGAGTGTGTGTGTTGGGATTTTTGTAAGGTATAAATGTATGTACTAAGGTTGCCTCAGTGAGAGCCCTATCTCTCTGTCTGAGCATGTTAAATAAATTTTAACCATTTTTATTGTAAGAAATGCCTCTGTCTCAGCTTCCTAACTCCACACAAGTTTAGAAGACAAGGTTAAAAAATAAATTGCTAGGTCATCCATTCTGGATTGCACAGATTGGTTCATAGCTGGAAAACAGATCCAAAAGCTAAACTAGTTAAAAACAATTTTTTTTTAAAACAGACTCTTACCTTGGCAATGCGAACTGTTGATCCTCTTATATCCTGGAGGACAGTTGATCAGAGGGATAGCTGAGGAAGCAAGGGCAGAAAGGGAGGCACTGGAATAAGTGGTGGATATCTGATATTAAAATATTCAGTGTAGTTGAAGAAAAACATGCATTTACTGCAACGGACAAAAGTTGTCTACGAAAGGCAGAGAGGTTGTTGGGCTACTGTATAAGAGCCTCGAACTCAACGCTATTTCTGACATTTTTAATCGAAAAAGCTTCCATGATGGGAGGCGAAACATCCTCAAACTTGGAAACAAATACCAGTGGATTGTTTTATATCTTTTTGGAAAGACTATGACCTGGATGACTGAGAATCTTCACCAGCAAGACAAAGATAGCCATTTGAGCATTAAGGGCTGGTTATCCTCCAGCAGTAGTGTGTCACAGTGAGCTTGTCGCAGATATTTTTGATTTATGTTCAATATTGAAGCGTGGTCTGCACTTTATCATTCCATGCCACAAAACAAGAGGGACAATCAGGAAGTAGCTGTGGTCTAGATACGTCCGAGGCGCTGAGGAAGTGGGGGCAAGTTTGTGCGACAATGGAGGGACCACACTCTACTAGCTGGTCTAACTTCACGAGTCATTTTCCTCAATGGCGGTCATACAAACCATGGTCGTAGGTTTGCATAGGGACCATAGGGACATGTCCCTACCTATAATTGGATGTAAACAACATGTTTATAATTTACTATACAGCAGCCGCTTCTTTTCCTCTCGCAGCTTCTCTGCCTGGTAGCTGCAGCTGCCTGCTCTTTCCTGTCCCTTTCACATAGCAGCACATCAACTGTGCTGCGCGGTTTAACTCTCTGATTATTCTGCCTTAAGTTCCGCCTTCTCTCTTTCTGATTGCGTGTTTTCTAGTCTGTATGTGTGCGCGCGCGGGTGCTTGGAGCGCGAAAAAAAAGACGCTAAAATAAATTAATATTGGGCTACGAAACTAGTCCAAATAAAAAAAAATATTATCTACGCTAAAACAGGCGAACGCTTCTGATTGGAGTTCTGTAAAGAAGCAGGAGAGAGTTTTTTGATTTGGGGAACTTGAGAAATGTAAGTTAACAACGTTATGATTTCTTTTATTTTATCTTTTAATCAGATAGCCAAAGGCTCCTTAAAGAAGATCTTTTATGAAATGAAACCAGGTGAAACAGAAACGTTTAAACGTTTCCTTTGGAGGAGTTCTGGATGGAGAATATTGACAGACAAAAACTTTTTTTTTTTTTTTACTTTTTAAAATGCAAAATGTTTACATATTTTTTTACAATCTTGGTATAATTCCTGCTCTAAGTGGGTCGCTCTGTCGGCTAAAGGCACATTTTAGTGGCTCTATACTCCAGTTTACGATTAGTCAATTACTAAATTAGTTCACGATTATTTAAATAATTTGTTAATATGATTAATTGTTTCAGCCATAGATAAAATACATGAAATTAGCTACACAGAGTAACTACAGCCCAGATGTACAACTTCTAATATTAATATTTTAAATGCTCAGTGTCAGTTCCTCTTATAGTTCCAGTGCATATGTAAATACAATACATTTATTTGCTGTCCCTTTGAATGTATTATGTTGCATGATCCAGATGGAGCGTATTAGATAAAAAAAATAAGAGTGGGTTTTACCTCTGTTTACCTCTGCAAAATTCTATATCTTCAGAAGAAAACACAGGATAAATCCACATATTTTAGACTATATTTGGTTAAACAGACACTGTCTTAGTCGCACGTAAATTTAAATGCAATCCTTTTCAAAGTGGAAAAAGTCCTAATTCCACATTCATCAGAGCAAGTTATGCTTTAAATATTGATAAACAGCATCTAGTGCATGTACTGCTTATAAGATTTGTATTAATGTAGCAAGAAATGCTGCTGTTCTCCTTTAACAAAATGAGCCCTAAAGCTCACATTAAGCATAAAAAAGAGCATGCATATTTTTCGCAAAGGACCAATGAAACTGAAGAATAGTGTCCCTACCAAAGTTGAAATCAAACCTACGCCCTTGATACAAACAAAACAAGCTGGTAAAGTACCAAACAGGAAATACGCATAGTTTAGAGAGGAAGTAGATTTGGCCAGTCTGCGGCACTGTCTGTGGTCACTTACAATTTTGGAGAGGTGCACCAGAGTGTCTTTGGAAGGGGTGGGGGAACATCTGCGTTAACAGCGACACACATGCAGATTACCTGGTTTCTGAGTATAAACCAGCCTTTAGGATCAATCAGTGTTCATATGATGTCCGAAGCAGACTGGAAAATCTTTGGCTAGCATGTTGCAAATCTCTGACAGTGCAGAAACATATGAGCTAATGAGGCTGTTGATTCACCGTATCTGAAATGCGCAGGAACGATACTAGTGTTCATTCTGCAAAGATTAGATTCATCTGATTAATGAAGGAATTAAAACTGCCAGTGCCCATGTCTCGCACAGACCGAAAAGGAGGGCAGCCAGAGTGCAGCTTATATGGGCTGTTTGCACCGCCCATACAAGCTTACTTTCCAGAAGAATATTTGCGATTTTTCCACTATATACAGACTCAGTACCGGTAAGTGAAAATGGGGACGAGAACTGACGGCCTTACGTAAACATGTCACTGCAATGATTAACATTTAGGAGGACCACTTATTTTACTGATCCACCTGGAAAAAGAATATCCTCCACTATACCTTTAAGCATGTAGCTAAACATTCTGTGTCTAAGACACGTGTGCTTAAACTACAGTTAGTGCAATCTGGCTGTTACCTCCTACCTGTAGAACATTAGACTCTCAAACCAAATGCATATATGTACATTATAGACCAAAACCTTAAGCACACCTTCTCATTCAAATACCCCATTTACACTACCCTTGAAAAACCGATCCATGCCGAGACCGGTCCAAGCTCGGATCAGTTAACCAGGCCGAGCTTGGTTCTGACGAACGTTTACACATCACGCTATCTCGGTTCCTCGACTCTTCGCCTCCTAGTGATGATCTGCGGTATTACTGCCAGTTTAGAAGGAGGGAATCAAGCAGTTGGTGGCGGTAATGCACCGAAAGTTGTTTGCCAACTGCCATAAAGCACAAGAAGAAGAAGACGAAGAAGGGGGGAATCAAGCAAATAAAAATGTTGTGTGGAGAAGATTTCGATTGTTGTTTATAGTTGTTGGTCTTCTACTGTTTTGTGTTGGTTGGCAAGCAACTTCCTGAGAGGCATTACCGCCAACTACTAGAATGTGTTGGGATCTGGAGGTCTGTCCACTTTCTCCACCAGAGGGGTCCTCAGATTGATCCTGCCTGAAACCTGAAACTCTGGAGAGTTTTCTCGGCTGGTAATCTGCCTGTCCGTACTCAGAAGTTCTCTGGAGAGCAGTTTCTGTCAAAGATCTGCATGCCCGCTCTCAGAAGATAACCAGAAACTCAATCTGTGATCTGCCTGCACTCAGTAAGCTCTGCCTCTGCCCTCTGCCTGCCGTCAGCCTCTGGACCCTCTAGGTTCCCCCCCTCTGCAGTTCTGCTCCACTCAAGAACAGGTACAGCCCTGACACACTCTCAACCTGCAATATTCCCTGGACCTCCGCTAAACTTCTCTGTCCTCCCCTGCAGTGAACCCACTTGTGACCAGTCAAACCACTTCCTGGATCTGAATAACCTGTGTGTTTTACAGAACTCTCTCGTGACCAGTCAAGCCTCTACTGAACCTGATCCATTGTAGCACATTTATTGTTCAATAAACTTTTTGAACTTTTTCTTCTGCCTCCGAGTGTTCTGCATGTGGGTTAGGCAAATTAAGCCGAACATGACAGAATGGAGTGTGAATCGGGATGTGCAGCCAGACGGAGATGACACGTTCTGCTCATGCGCTCTTGTTATCAGAGAACCGAGGCAGGAAAAAACCGAGCCGAGCCCACCTCTGGAACTGGTCTGCAGTTAGCGCGGTCTGGTTGTGTCTAGCTCGGTTCAGTTTAGTTTGCTTTCCATTTACACACGATAAGTTATCTCAGTTACAGAGCTCGGACCGGTCTCGGCACGGTTTTTCAAGGGTAGTGTAAATGGGGTAATAGAGTTCTGTTTATTTTCATGACTATGAAAATTGTAGATACACACTGAAGGCATCAGAATTATTAATTAACACATGTGGAATTATATACTTAGCAAAAAAGTGTGAAACTACTGAAAATATGTCTTATATTCTAGGTTCTTCAAAGTAGCCACCTTTAGCTTTGACTACTGCTTCGCACACTCTTGGCATTCTCTTGATGAGCTTCCGCAGATAGTCACCTGAAATGATTTTCACTTCACAGGTGTCCCCTGTCAGGTTTAATAAACCTGTCAATTGTACTTAATTGGAATAGATTCTGTTAAATCTGCAAATGCTTTTTATTTTCGTATTACATAAAACTACTCCGTAATTAGTTACGGGCTGGGATCAAAAAGGCCTTTTACTACAGATCTTTGAAAATAACTGCTTTACTTACAGGGTCTGTTTGGACACTTCTGGCATTTGTGGAAGCCCCACGAGGAGCCAATGGTTGCACAGCACTGCTCCAGTTTGATGAGTCCTGGCAAAGCCTTTCCACACTGCAGAAGATATAAAAATAATTTAATTCATCAAGTAAAGCACTGAGGGCTTCTGTACTTTACTCTCCCTTCATCGACAGTGAAATAATAATAAAAGGCAGGATGGTAATCTGGATGAACTGACTGCACAGATGATGTTTTCAGGACCTTCTCACTTAAAAACATGTTAAAACCACATTTTACCCACTGATCACATAAAAATAGAGCTGCAGGCAAAGAAAAGATAGGGTAGCTCCGCCCAACGCGCATCAGACCCACTTTTCAACAGCACAGCTGGTGCAGCAAAGATCCTTTAGCGCGTCAGAACTAAACTTGTACAAGCATCGAAAATGAAGCAGTTCCTGCTGAGTGCGGTCTGAGTGTAGCATGAGAGACTAAACTGCAAAATTCACAATGTGAAAGCAACAACTTAGTAACTAATTGTATCTTATGTTGTCATTCACGCTTAGAAAATAAACATTATGAATTTAGTATAAGAATATCATCTTTACACAATTAAAAAGCACTACATATGAACCCCAAAGATGTCACATTATATACACCCATCGTCTAAGATATGTGTGCTGAAATATAGGTCAGGTTGTGTGCAGCGTACTATGTTAGCCTACAGTGGTCGCATTTAGCAGTTTCCACAAACCCAAACTGAGTCAATCCTGCATTTGCTGCTCATGATGCTCATAATGATCAGTACCAGGGGGTAAATTGGCAAATTTTTAGATCCCCTCTAGCACTTTTATTTCTTTTAAAAACCTAGCGGCAGATCTAGGGACTTTTTTCTGCTACTGGAGACTTTGGAGACAACATCTAAAAGCAGCGAACTCTGCTCCCCAGAGCCAGTAGATTGGTGAGCCCGCCTCCTGCTCTCCCCCATCTTGTCTGCTGTCATGATTCATGCAGCTATTATTTCATCCAAATGAAAAATGGAGAACAGAGAAGCAGATCATGGCTTGTCTACAGTGAAAAGAAGGACTGGGTTATTTACTTTGGCCTTTTTGGAAACACAGGAAGGAGCAATCAGCTAAGTGAGCTTAGTGATTGGAAAGAGACAGCATGAAAAGTCAGCTGAGTACAAAACAGAGGAAAACTGTCAGGGTTCTGCCCTCTGCTTGGGTTTATTCTTAAGTTTATTTGTGTTCTGTGACTTTGTAGTTTATTTCTACCAGTGCTGAGTTCTTGATTTATCATCTGTTGCCCCCCTTGTGCTTGTTTTCCTTTCCCCTTGGTTTCCTCCTGGTTGGTCCTGTCCACACCTGCTCCATATCTGCTGATTAGCTTGTCTCGGTTCCGTCTCCCAATATATACCTCACCTCTGCAGTCACTCAGTGCTGGTTTGTTGTGTTCGCTGCCTCCTCATCTTTGTTTCCTTACGTGAGTTCTTCCTGACGATCTGGTTATCTGTATTTTGGTTCTCAGTATTTTTGTATTTCTGCCTCAGTTAACTATTAAATCTACAAGACTCGACTCTGCCTCCTGATCTCTGCCTTTGAGTCCTCAAAAACCTCATCCAAGCATGACAAAAACAACAACGAAGGGAACAAGAAGAGAGGGACAAAATGTAGCAAAAATAATGGATGTCTATTCTATTAAAAGTTCTGTGCCTGTATAATGGGTCTGTTGTATGTGTTGTCTTCTCAAGTCAGAGAGCCCTCTGCAGGTCTTTGCCTAGGGCCCCACATTTCCTAAATCCCTCCCCCTGGTGGAGGGAGAAGACAACTAGCTTACCTGACCAGCTGTGGTCTCCTGGAAGCAGCGGCCCAGTGTGTTCTTGGAGGTGGCAGGCTGGTGGTACTGGAGAACCTTTTGGCCCTGCTGGTTAGGGTGGCCATGCTGCTGGATCTTCTGGCTGCTTTCAGAGTGGTGATAGTTGTAGCTGGACCCGTGCTGCCCGTTGATGGAGTAGTTGTCCAGCTTGGATACCTGGTGAATCTGAACCGAGGCTTCTGGAGGGTGTTTGATGTGAATGTTGACCGTTCCTGAGCTGAACACTGGGGGGCATAATGACCACAACATGTTACTCACACACCAACACCTGTAATGTTGGTTCACACCAAACACAATTCATATGAACAAATGTCCACCTTCTAGTGTTTTCCTGGTGGATGGAAAGCGACGTTTATTTCTATAGCACCATACAGTAGAAAGACAATGCAGAGTGCTATAAATGAATTAAACAATAAAACAGAAGGAAAAGAAAAGCAGAATAAAAGCAATTAAAGATAAAAGCATGCTAAAAGCCGGTAGTAAAGCAAATCAAACAGTTGGATCACAACCTTAAACTAATGATTCCTGTTAACAGTTTCTCCAACAGTCAAAGGTAGCTCTTAACTAATGGGATTTTAAAGCGTACACTTCAAGTTTTTTTTCAATCATTACACGCAGCTACAGCTCACACTGTACGACGAAACCTCAGGGTTTAAAAGTTCCCAGCTCACTATGTTTGTTCTCACACTGTGCGAGCCGACGCTCTGATGCGATCTACCTGCTCACACTGAACGTCTAAAAACCAGGTGGTACTCAGCTCCACAGTGAGATGGCGCTACTTGGACTCGTGTGTCCGGAAGCCAAACGAGAAGCAGAGGAACATGAAGCCCTAAAAAGAAAAGGCGACAACGTATTTGGACAAAGACATGGCTGAGCAAACGTAGCTACTACAGTCTGTCAATTTGACAGAAAGAACTCCATTTCACTCACACCCCCGCCATGCTTCTGTGTTTTAGTCTGAGAGGAAGAAGGAGAATCCTTGTTTACCCACTGAGCGATTCGTCCACAACCATCTTATGATGGCCAACCCGACCTTACGATTCCTGATGGGGAGGTAGTTGTGAGAGGCTGATTGCCCCTCGTTACCCCCTGTACACTACATGATGTTCGCCTCGTGAGACCATCCTGATCTCGCGAGCTTTCAAGGTTTCACTCGCAGATCAGTCTGGCTACTTTCCTTTAAAGAAAATTTGGAGCCGTTCACCAAACGAACGTCCAATCAGCGTTGGCTTTGAGGCGGGTTGAGGTGTGACGCAACGAGAAGCGCGACAGTTTAGTCTAAAGAACATGGCGGCTTCAGCCGATGAAACTAGCGTTAGCATGGCTATCGAGCAAGTTTTATCGGAATTACAGAGTATTTCTTCACTGAAAGAAGAGCAAACCACTGCTCTGGAGGCTTTTCTCAGAGGAAAAGATCTTTTACCGACTGGTTTCGACAAGAGTAGCCTGGCTTGTGGTTGTGTTTTCGTCGTCGCTCTGTTAGTACGTCATATGCTTCGTTGATCAGATTGGTTTATTTGGCCCGTATATCACCAACATAGGCCAATCAGCTAACCAGTATTTTCGCCCCTTGCCAAAATTATTTCAACGGAAGGTTTCCAGATGGATATGGGGAGCAAATCCATCTGGCGGAGTCAGGTTAACACGATGCACCATCAGGCTGAAAGTCAGCCTGATTGAAAAATTCTTGCACGACTGGAGAATCAGCCCGAAAAAGAGCACACAAAAAAAAATTCGCCCAGCTTAACTAAAATTCTGGGTAAATAATTGGATGAAAAGCCAGCAGAGTCCAGTCGAGTCCTTGGAGGATTGGGCCTACCTCTGGAAGCAGATCCAGACTTTGCTGAGAGTAAATTAACCTAAAATCGCAGGTTTTTCCAGATTAGAGGGATTAGAGGCAGAATGATTCATCACAGGTGACATTGCTGGCCCAGATTCCTGATTGGGAGTCGGTGGTGGGAGGCTGATCGCCCCTCATTTCCCCCTGTACACTACATGACGCACTATCAGGCTGAAAGTCGGCCCGATCAAAAAACTCTTGCATGACTGGAAAATCAGCCTAAAAAAGGGGAACAAATCGTACAGTGTATGCCCTGCTTAACAGGTTAGCTCAGAGGAACATTCAGGAGCACAGCAAACAATCAGGGACATAGAAGCGCAGGAGAGAATAAGCTTTGATCAAAATGGAAAATAGGAAAAAAAAAAAAAACAGTTGACAAAGGATGAATTAACAAATACTATTTGAAAATTTGTGGGAGGCTTTTTTTCCCCCCTGCTGAGCTCCAGTGCTCAGCCTCGCTTTACGTCTCTTGTCCAGGTGAGCCTCCCTCAAAGCGGAATAAAAGTTTTGGATCCTGGGAAAACACCTGCCACACATTTTTATTTAGCAATGTGAGCTGGAGCAGAAAAGTGCCACAGATAAGATGGCCTGTTTTAGAGCACCGGACACGCCGCACTCCTGCTGCAGCAATAATAGAAATAAATACATTTCTGCTTTTTTTGTTTGTTTTAGGAATGATCCCTTCCAATCCAGTGTCACAGGTGGGGAAAATCTCCAACAGCACCTCCCTCATATGACTCAACATATGTTGGGTCACAGAGTTTGGTGAAACACCGATGTGCTGTCTGCTCACTACTGCACTGAACAAACTGAGACAAAAGCAGATAAGGGGATTTTCTCTTCATTTGAGCAGCTAAATAACAAAGTTTGCCAACGAAATAAGATGCTTTACACATGAAATAAAAATAAATTATCTTATTTTAAGAAAAAGAAATCCTTTATTTGATTTGCAGCTGGTTAAATTAAGAGCAAAACACTTATTTCAAGTCATTTAGATCAGTTTTGTGTAAATTATGTAATTGGTTATAATGACTACTAGTAAGTACTTATTGTCTTTAGCGTTGTTTGTCTGCAACAAGGGTCTGAACTGTACATATAGTGGAACAGACAATAAAATGAATTTGGCTCAGATAAGATAATAACAAAAATAACTTAATTAAATCTTAATTAAGGCCACATTTTATCCAAAACCCTTTTAGTTCCATGTATCTATATATTTTCATACAATCCAGGGTTAATTAGGGGATTGATGCAAAAAAAGGGAGTCAGAGTGAGCAAATAGTAAAGCTTTAAAAGAAACTACCCATAATCCTCCTTATTTAAACAATATTTATATCATATCCAGATTTTCCCCATTGTGGGAAAATAAAGGTATATTTCTATTCTATTTTTTTCTATTGTATTCTATATCCATCGATCGATATCCGATCGGTTTCAGCTGTTGATTGAATGAACCATACAGCCGCAACGTGAGTAAAGACTTTAGCCTCCACATAACCATTGTTTAAAAAGGTAAAAAAAAAAATTGCACAGATATAAATTTACTTTATATTATTTATAAACAAATAAGCAGCAAAAAGAAAAAAAAAACGATTAATTGATGAGTGAATCTGATCCGGCTAATTAGTCAATATCTCGGCTGATATCGGATCCATTTATCGGATCAGTGCATCTTTTAGTAAAACAATAAAAATAAAGTATGTTTGTTAATTAAGTAGTTAATTAATTAGAATCTGAAATGGAGATTTTATTCTTGCATCTCCTACAGCTGCATTAATAAATGTTGAATCTATTCTGACAAGACCCTTTCATTAAATCATAATTTCTTCCATTTTCTGATGCAGAACATCTCTTTGCTCACTACATCCAAAAAAATAAAACTTTAAATGTCAAAGTTTAATAATCACAGATTGGTGCAATCCCCATTACTGTTTAATTCTGTTCATTTTTTGTTATCTTTACAACTAAGTTAGTGATATTCTGTTAAAAATACCAGAAAGGCAACATGGACAAAATCACTTGGACTTTCTGCCTATATCTTCAGTTATAATCTTGAATCGATGAAGCTATGATTACTGATGTAATGGAAATCTGTCTTTCTAAATAAAAAACTATATATATAAAAAAAAAAAAATCACAGATTAAATAAATTATGTTTGAGGAGCAAAGCTGAGTGTTTTACTCACCAGGGTTCTGTCCATGACTGTATGTTAGCGGCAGGCTATGAGTAGAGAGGATCTGAGACTGGCTGTAGGCTGCTGAGGACTGCTGATGATGCTGCTGATGATGCTGGGATCCACCATAAACTGGCATTTGGCAAAACTTTCCCACAAAGTTTGGAGGACACTGGCACTTGTCCCTGGCACTGCATTTACCCCCATTGATGCACGGTAGGTGACACACCACTGAGAAGAGGACAGAAAAAGTCAAAGACAGAAGCGGATCTTTATAAAGGGTCACTAAGCAAACAGTGAACAGAATACATCCATTCAGTTGTTCTTTTTGGTCTTTATTATAGAAAACAACCAGAAGAAAGCAGAGAAATTTTGACCTCCTGCTGGCCGATTCTGGTTTACACATTTCTGATTCTTGATGTAGGCATTTCTGCATTCTGTAATACACATTTCTAGATTCTGTTGTTCACCTACAAGTCTTAACATTTAAAGCTGAAGTCTGTAAGTTTTTAAAAATCACTTTTTTGTCATATTGGCTAAAACTGTCCCTATGCCCAGACAGCAATACATGTGATATGTAACCTGTGAAAAAAACTGCTTCAATTGGTCCCGCCTACTGCCTGTATTTCAATCTGGAAAGAATAATTCGGGACGAGTCAAAACAACCAATCACAGCCAGAGGAGCGTCTGATGGAGTGTCAATCACAGCTCACACGGGGCATGTGGGCCCCGATCCCGGGGGAGCTTTTACTGGGGGTGGTCTGGTCTTGGTGCGGGGTGGGGGGCCGGGCTCGAAGCAGGAACGAGATGGGTTGTTGTGGCGGTGTCACCGCTCCTCTCCCTCCCATCTGGATTTTGGGTTCACTTATTGGGTCATCTGATAATCCCGGGACCAACCACCAGTGCCGCCGGGTCTTTGGTCCTGGTATTACTGGATGTGAGTGTTATGTGTGAATGTGTGTCCGCTTTTTTTGGCTTATCTCTACAGAGTCTGTGTGGTGTAAGTGGGAGCACTAGGGTGGGAAGGTGTAATGGACACTGTTTTTTTTGTGTTTTTTTTTGTCAGGTTGGGGTCTGAACTGCTCCCTCTCCCAAACACATCTCAAGTCTCCGTCAAGTGCGGAGCCCATTCCCTCCGTCCTGCTCTCCCTCTGCTGGCTGGTGCCTGGGCTCGCCGGTGCACTGGTGGAGCTTGGGGTTTTGGGGTGAATGCCCGGTTGGGGCTCCCGCCGGGGGGTGTGGCGCTCTTGGGGCCTCGGATCCATGGGGCCCATGGCTGGATTCACAATGGGGACTCGTCCCCGCGGCTCCCGGGCACTCCGGTATTGTGGTGGCTTGGGGACTTCCTCTGGGCTGTCTTTCCTCCTCCCTTGGTGGGAGTCGGATTTCCTGGATTGGCCCCTTTTTGGCGCCTTCGCTCTTGGGGTCCCTTTGAGCGTCTGGGGCTTTCGGTCTCCCGTCGCTGGACTCAGTGCTCTGCAATACTCCCTGCATGAATTATAATAAAGCTATTCACATGCATAAATCAAGCGGAACACTATGGCGATAGCCGTATTGCTCCACTTGTGAAAGTAAAATCTGCTGGGCCCTTTTTTGGCATCAAGACAATTATTCTTATTGCCACACAGACAAAAAAAAGAAAAAAGAATGGGACACGGACCGGTTAGTCATACGTCCCACCTGCCTAACCGTCAATCTAGGGATGTAGAAGGAAGCAATACTCGGCAGGAAACCAGATGGGTTTCAAAGCTGTGACCGCGTTACCCTAATGAGCCACAGGACCAGGTCCCCAAGCCCAAACGCAACATGAAGTCAGATCTGCAGTTTAAAGCTTATTGGTTGGTTTTAGGAACTTCAGGACCAGAAACAGTGCCTTGCAAAAGTATTCAACCCGGTTGAAATTTTCCACCTTTTGCCACATTTCAGGCTTCAAAAATAAAGATATAAAATTTTATTTTTTTAGGAAAAATCAACAAGTGGGACGCAATCCCGAAGTGTGTTTCAACACCATTGGCCTGAATTTCCTCCTTAATCAGAGCTGATTGTAGATCACAGCCTGATGAAGCTACCAGAACCACATCATCCGGGAACAGTAGAGGCACATTTCTAAGGCCACCATAACGGATTCCCTCAAACACTTGGACTGGGCCTAGAAATTCTGGCCATAACTGTTAAAAGCTGAATTTGTGACAAAGGGTGACCTTCGTGGAGTCCAAGTCTCATTGGAAATGAGCCCAACCTACTGCCAACAATGCGGACCAGGCTCTAGCACCGGTCATACAGGAAACTAAGATCCACTATTTAAGGGCCTTGTACCCAATACCCCAACCCTCCACCCCCTCCCCAACCACAAAGCACATATGGACTGGTTGGGCAGGCTCTAGGGGTGTCAACAATAATCGATTCAGCGATGCATTGCAATGCGGGGCATGCACGATTCAGCGTCGATGCGGCAACGTGCCATAATCGATTATGTCACTGTTTATTTCCTGGCGTCAAATGGACAACTTGTGAAGTTACAATTACTTCCGGGGGCATACCAACAACAATCAAGATGGCTGAGGCGGAGGGAGATGACCGCAATAGACGGGTAGGCCTAATTAAAAACGCACCAAAAGCTTGGAAAGCGGATGTCTTGGCACATTTCGGATTTTACGAAGTCAATGGGATTTTGATGCATCATAGAATCGAATTGAATCGAATCGTTACCTGGTGAATCGTAATCGAATCGATCGTGAGGGCAGTGCCAATGCACACCCCTAGCAGGCTCCCATGAAACTCTTGCCTCCTGCTGAGGGTGTAGGGCTTGTCAGGTGTTCTACGACCAGTAAAGGGTTAGGACAATGATGGAAATACAACTAGTAACAGTCTGGTGCTCAAAATCCATAACAACAAAAGAGATCGTTTTTTAATTAAAGAAAACTCAATTTAGAAGGTGTTCGACTTAAAGCTTTTAGCTTTTTCCATCACTGTGAACATCTATCAAAACAATTCCATTTAAATTCAATTCAGTTTATTTATATAGCGACAATTCACATGTCATCTGAAGGCGCTTAACAGTTCACAAGATCATAGTCAAATTCATTAAAAAGAAGTTATAAAACAGACAGTTTTAACTGAGCTAGAATTGAAATGTATTTCTTCACTAGTGACTAAAGTAGAATTTAATTTTTGAATTGAATTTAAAGGTTGTGCTTTCTTTTATACCTTTATCCAAACTATTAGGATTTATATGTTGATTCTATTAGTAGGTTGCATATCTTAGACTTTCTATTACATCTGGTTAAAAGCGTTTGTATCATTGTTGAGTTGTTATTTTTGGATAAAGGAATGCTGTGAACATGAAATCATTGGCCATGTTTACACTTTCATTAGTTTGAATGTTCCAGTGTTTAGAGACATGGTGAAACTCAGACCATGTGTTCTGGAAACGATAAGTCTGTTCAGAGGTGTACGAGACATCAAAGACTGTTAGAGAGTGCAAACAAATTCACCTTTTATTCCCAGTTCAACATGAGTCATTCCAGATCACTTTATTTTCTCAAGATAAAAGAATTAGTCTGTCACACTCCTACAACCCCAGTTTGGACTTTAAATAAACTATCATTTGGTTTCACTTCTTTTTTTTAAACTAAACAGAGAAAAGAGAGGAAGGGTTTAAAGGGAAGGGCAGCAACACGAGCCATAACCTCTGCTTTAGCACATCTGCTGATCCTAATGACAATCAAACATTAGCAGGTAGCATCTGTGTCCTGGGCGACACAGAGAGAGGTTTAACTTCACCTGGAGGGAAAACCCAGCGGGAACATCTCAGTTACAGTCCATGAAATGAGAGATGCACCAATCCAATACATGGATTGAGTATTGGCACAGATATCGACTGAATAGCTGAATCAGATATCAGTAATTTGATAATGGTTTCAGAGATCAGTTCAGTTTACTTTATATGGAATTGGAAGGAAACATTCTTTTCTCTTTACAGCTTATTTGTAAAGCTAAGCTACATTTAAATAAGTGGTAAATGTTTACTTTTTAAACAATATTTATGTCAAGGCTAAAGCCTTCACTCACATGGCAGATATATTCAATGTTCATTCAATCAACAGTTGAGTCAGATCGGATATCGGCCGAGATTTTAGTCCAAGTATTGTTCTAAGAAAAAACTGGATTTATCTGTGCATCGCTACATCAAATGTTGCCGTTTCTGCAATAAGATTTCTTGACATACAGCTCTTAAATGTATTGAGATAAAATTTTGAGGAATAGAACCGAAACCGAATAGATGTACTAGGGTGCTGTCTGTGTACCAGGCATTATTTTAATTTAATGCACATTTGTTGAAATCCTCCAAAGTGGGCGGGAGACACATGGAAACATCTTTCCCATCCATAAAGGCACTAATCGCTAGCTCTTCTAAAAAAAGAGATGGAGGGTATTCCACCCAAAATCGAAGAAGCCATGATGGTTTTGATTCAGCCTTCCACTTATGTTGATGTCATCCAAGTCGCTGCATTTCATTGGTTTAAACCATATCTGTATTCGAGGCTAATTTATCTACTGGCTCTGACAACGTATAATTTCACAAATTTGTGAATTTAAAAAATCTTGCTTGAAGAGTAAATGGATGTGATATAATTTAAATAAAAATTACTTTCTTATAGCCCAGAGGTCATGGAATAGCGGACCGGGGTCTGGATCCAGACCCAACCTGATTAAAGACATTTATAAATTACTGCATTTTGTCCGACGACAGTGTCTAACTTCACTTGAGACACTTCTCCTGGTAATATGGTAAAGCCCTCCGGAGCATCCGGTTCCAGGCTGCACATGATATAAATTAGCCAATGAGCTGTCAGTCTGGGTTGATGCTGCTGCTAACTTTGGACACAGCAGACAAACCTGTGGTATAATGGTTTGACAACTTTGTGTCAATGGATTACATGACCTAAAACACTCACTTTTTGTTTTGTATATTGACAATCCCCATGAGAACCACCATTTGTGGGCGGATGGAATAGCAAACAAAGAAACTTAGCCACTGAATTAAACCTTAAAATATTACTGTTCAATAATGTAAAAAAAAATCTTTAAAGGGACCTCTTTACACAATTGGCCTATAAAAATACCAAGAAAACATTTATAAATCTTTAAAAAATAAAAGATACATCTAGTATTCATCTTGATAGTGTTCATCAACCCGTTTTCGAACCTAAAAAACAGATTTGATGAGC